GTGACAACTAAGATGCGAATCTCCTTCCCATTTAGAGAGATTTTCTCTCATTTCCTGTTGCACCTCCAGGACAGGAAGCGAAGGAAAATCTCTACAGCGGGACGCAGACAGCAAAAAATAAGCCAATGGAGGCTTTAACCATTTCTTACCCCATCCAAAACAAAACAAAAGTTTTGGCTATACATACACTTTAATTCAAATATGATTTTATATCTGGCCCTTTTTGTTGGTCTTAATATTTTTGTTTTTTTTGGAGAGAGATTTGTAGCAAGGTTTTAGATTCGTTTTCAGGTTTCTCCAATGTATTGGTTCTTACAGGTCGACCCGTACTTGCCAACTTAGAAACATGGCTTAAACTAAAAGGGGAACTCCTGGCACATTGAAAAGGAAAAGCTATTCTAAAGCAGTCCTAATTAATTGAATTGCCTTTAAAACATTTTGGTAGAAAATCCACATGACCTTTTTCTTTGCTTTTTCTGTATGCGTCCGTGTAGCCAAGTACTGAGCTGTAGGTGTTGGGTAGCTGCCTTTTGAAGCAGCAACCATTTAAAATACTCCCCCTTGCACCTATTTGGCTGCTCCGGTCATGGAAGCAGTGACGTAAAACTGGGCGGCCAGCAGAAGGGCACAAAGACAGGCCAGGCCGATTTAAAGTGTTGATCAATCTAATTACACCGCCTTTGAATTGACTTCCAGATACCATAAAAAAGGGACCAGTTTACTGGGTGCTAAAAGCTGGGCGGGTATATGTTTATGGCCCTCACACATCTCCCTGCCTGACTCTTAGCAACCAGGTATGCTCTGGCCAGAGTCTTACCCAGCTCCTGGTAACCAGTGGTGTCACTGGTTGCCAGGCACTAGGCGGGACGCAGGCCAGAGCATACCTGGTTGCTAAGAGCCGGGCAGGGAGATGTGCATGGGAGAGGGGTGAGAATAGAAAAAAGTCTCCATGGGTCGGTGAACTTTTGCTGACCCACGAAGCTGACCCCCCCCCCATTCAATTTGTCATCCAGGGCATGTGCCATACGTGCCATACCCTGGATAAGCAAAGGTGTATAAATGTCATATAGCAATATGGGTTTTCTAAAGAGAAAGAACAACAGATAAGCAGGGAGGGGTAAGGAGTCAACTCACTGAACACTGTAAACAACATGATTTCTTTCCAGCAAAGCAGATAGGATTAGCCTGGAATTCACATAAATGGGGGCCTGCTGTATGAAAAGTAGAATGCAGTAATGTTTATATGCAATTTTTAATTAATTTAGTGAAATTGTTATTTTTAGTCCTGAGCTTAATAAATAAAGAAAACTAGGGATGCACCAATACCGATACTAGTATCGGTGCCGATACTGAGTATTTGGGTGAGCCTAAATGCTCAGATGCCTAGCCCGATACCCGAACTTCCAGTATCAGGAAGCCAGGCAGCGAGTCATCACATGCTGCCCGGCTTACTGATTGGCCGGGAAGCCAGCTCTATGTTCCCTCGCTGCTCCGGATTGGCCAGGAAGCTGGCTTCATGCTCACTCTTTACCTCGTGACAAGGATTCTGAGACAGCTAGGGCTCTATGGGTTTGGACAATGCTGTCAGTCTAATGAAGTGAACATACTTACAAGGGCAGGGCACAGGAACAGCCCCCATTAGTGTACTTTTGCTCCTTCATTGTCCAAGGCCTGGGTGGGTATTAGCAGTATTTCTTAACTTGCTGTCTTGCAGGGGCTCCTGATATGCAAGACTGGTTTACAAATCTTTTGGCAGGTAAACCAGTCCTATTGTATATTTGCCTGGAATTCAGCTTTAAGCAGTGAATGCTAATCACATCCCTTGCTCCCTATAATAAGGCAGCCTGAGCTGGTTGCTTCAGGCGGCATCTCACGCTTGGGGTGTGGCAAGTGTTCCTGCCACCCCCTTTCTGGCAGTGTGTCTATCTGACTCTCGGCAACCTGTGACACTCTGGCCGGCTTCCCGCCCAGCTCACCGACGTCACTGGTTGCCAGTAATTGAGTGAGATGCCAGTGAGCTGGGCGAAAGGTTGGATAGAAGTACCATGCAAACTACCCCCCCAGTAATATGCACTGCCAACACCAACCCCCCCGGTAGCATGCACTGCCAGGTGGGACCCTCCAACCTACTGCCCCCCAACCACACTGGCCTCAGGCAGTGAACACTGAAGGGAAGACATTGTTCACAATAGATGAATAATTATATTTACTGCATATGGGGGGTGCAGCGCTAACTCTCAATTTAAAGAAAAATTTCCACCAATGCACATGTGTGGGAGGATTAGTGTTCAGGTTAATCAGAAGCTCTGCTTGAAAGTCAGGGCCTCAATCCCCTTTAAGTTAATAGCCATGTGAGCATTCATTGGTTATGTGACTTGACAGCAGCGGTAGCTTGGAGCTTCTTTTACCAATGTATGTTGTCAATGTACTTGATATAGGGGGTCTGACATCATCAAAGGGCCGCATTAAATAATCTGTAGGTATAAGGCAGATAAAGCTGCCAGGGACTAATGATGTGCATGTTGCAAAAGACTTCTAGGGATCACTGCTATTAAAGCCCCTTTGCAAATCAATGCTTCAACATTTCTACTCCCTACAGCCCTTTATAAAATGATTTGATATTTCTCTCAACAAGATCCATTATAAAAGGTCAGAGAAACATACAAAGAAAACATACAAAGAGTAAGAGCGTGTGATGGAAATAAACCAAAATCATTTACCTATTAGAAGCCAGTGTATTTTCCCTAACTGGCTTGTGTAAGCCCATAAACCCCCCATAGGAATGCTCAATAACTGCCAAAGGGCCAAAGGTTGGGCTCCAGGGATGTGTGAATTTAATGGAGAAGATAGCTCTGCTTTAAGGCCCCTTTCACACGATCCGATCCGGAGAGGATCCCTGCACAGATCCCCTGCTGATCAAAACGGACGGCACCAGATGTGTCCGTTTACATCAGATCACCTCAAATCCGGCGGACTTTTCGACGGTAAAGTCCGTCGAAACTGAACTCTGATCCGTTTGTTTAGATCCAGTTGCCCATAGAGTAACATTGGGCTTCGGATCAGGTCCGTCTGTCAGTTTTTCAGGAGGACCTGATCGGCAGCCCAATGTTACTCTATGGGCATCTGTGCAGGGATCCCCTCCTGATCGAATCGTGTGAAAGGGGCCTTAAAGTAGAGATATCTTCTCCATTAAATACATACATCCCAGAAAGCCCGGGTGAAAGGGGCCTAAGGATAATAAGCTCAGGTTATTGTAATGTATCAACAGGGCCAAAGTCAAATTATACAGAACTTCCCTGGCACGTAGGATGGGTTGAATGTCAAAATTGTTCCTTTGTTTCTACTCAATAGGCCAACAAATGTAGAACTCATTCCCCCACTTCAACAAAAAGTAGAATCTGATTTCTATCTAAAAGTTAACAAAAAAATTGAGTTTTCTTTTTTTCCATTTGAAGACTTTTGTGCGGTTGTTTTCAGTATATGTAGATCCACGGATCAATCGCGGTTTATTCCCCTTCATAGCAATATTTGGCTCTTGTATCATATTAAAAAAAAGTGTTAATTATATCGTTAACAAAAAGTCTCAGGCCCATATACAGGCCTCCTCTGTACGGTGTGCCTATCTATTTACGAACTGTACAGACACATTGCAAGAATACATCGTTAAAATAAGTTAGGTATAAATAAGGAGGGATGGACGGGTGGAGAGGTTTGAAAACAAGAGACACAAGTTCTAACTAGAAAATGGCTATTGTATATACACGTAATTGACCCCGGTACAGAAACTCTACTCTCATCCTGGTTTTCAACACTTTTTTTTATTTCCCTTAAAGCAGAACTTAAGTTTTTTTTTTTTTTTTTTAATGCAAACACTTTGAAATTGCAAGGTAGAAATAGGGCATGCATGCACAAATTATGTGTCTTGTGGCTTTTCCAGAAGGCCTCCCTGCTGCTTTGCCGGCACAGAGCAGGAGCTGTGATTCTCTATGACCTCTTGGCTTCAGCTCTGCAGGCTACACAACCCAGAGGTCTCAGGCTTCGCACATCTTTATCATTCTGCTCATAAATTTGCATGGGGACAAAGAGCAGCACTGCACAGAAAAAATGTGACTCCTTCCAGTTCTTCCCTGTGCTCTGCCTTTTTATTTGATTGACAGCAGCATTTACAATCTTCAACCTGCAATTTCAGAGTGTTTGCATTAAAAAAAAAGACACTTTCATTCTGTATTAAATGTCTACGTGACACTTCTAGCACAAGACACCGTCCCTTATGAAAGAGGCCTTTTCTATGGCAATACTAGTTAAGTGCATATCATGCTGCACTAATATAGTGCAATTCTTGCCTTACATACAGCAAAAAAATGATGTAGGCAACATTAGGAGAGTTAGAGAAAGTAAAAACATGGTCACATTTACAAGTGGGTACTTGGTCAGAGATATTAGAAAATACTGCATTACAGGACACTTTGTTTAATGTGTACCGTGGCATAGGAACTTTGGAGCGTGACCGGAAATTGTGGTCCCATATTGTATCATTGAAGTCAGGTGGAATATGTATTTTGTAAACTATTTGAATACTGAACGTCTTTATATTGTATTATTTACAGCAAACCTCATTATTTTCTCAAGGACACCCGCGAGAATAATCAGATTTTCGTACGGCCGGCGGCTGATCGTATGAGTATCGGTTAGCGAAGGTCGGGAAGCCCGGTTAAGCTTTGTTTCAGGTCAGTTCGTGTTTACATTTACAGTGAGATGGTTTTCACTTCACGATCCATTCCTCGGGTTCAAGACCGTCTACCGAAGTCGCAGTATGAATGAGCCTCAGCTTCCGCCATATTCCTAACTGTTACTTTATAATCAATGTATCCTTTCTTCTTCTTAGCAGACGTTCTCCGAACATTGACTCTTTGTCCTTGTCTGTTCATATCTGATACACTAAAAGATGGAATGTATATTTCGTTTTTCCAGGTTTTTCACAAGTTACTTATTTTTATTTGTTTACATGTCCGCGTCACCGTCGTAAGCCAAGGTTAGGGGTTTCAGGCGATTGTTTTGCCTTCTTGGTGGTTTCTTTGGCTTTTTGCTGCAAATTGAAAATAATGATCGATTACTTACAAAACTAAAGTTTAGATTACTGTAAAATTTTTAATTTCTCTTACAAACATTTAAGGGGGTCTTTTACTTCACTCATTCACCGAGTGAATAACCCAGCAGATGTGAAGTGCTATTCACTTCAGCCTTGTACGGCTGATTTCAGCCCTACATCGGCTAAAATCAGCCGTACATCGGCTGCCTTCGGCTGAGCCGAAGTGCAGAAGGTGTTCGGCTCAGCCGATCCAACATCTGGATCGGCTTACCAAAGCTCCGGCAGCTCATTCGCTGCCGTTTGCCCCTATTCTCATAAATAGCCGAATGCCGCCTCGGAGGTAGCAAACAGAAAAGAAAGAAATGTAAATAAATGAGAATTAAAAAAAAAAGTATTTAAACAAATTTAAATGAATACGAAAATTTAAAAAAAATCAAGAAAATAATAACAAAAAATGAAAAGAAAAGAATGATTACTATTGGCCGGCACCTGCCAGAGTCTTCTAGCAGGTCCCGGGCAAAAAAAACAACTGGGCAGAGTCAGCCGTGACCTTTAATTACAGATCAGCGTCTCCAGGTAATTTGGAGACGTGATCTGTCATTACAACTGGGCGGAGCCAGCCGTGAGATCACGTCTGACTCTGCCCAGCTGTCATTTCCATGAAGAACGGTCGCCCCTTCGGCCAACCTTTCTCCACGCTTCGGGTGTCACTACGGCTCAGCCGAGCCGAAGCAAATGCCTTTGGCCCGGCTGAGCTGCTTGGCTGCCTTCGGCTGCTGTATGGTCTATTGTGAATAATTTGGACGGCAGCCCTTCAGTTCGACTGAACCGATGGGCTCAGTCGGCCGAAGTGAGCCAAAGGATCAGCCGAAGCTACAGCTATATTCTTCGGCTGTATAGTGAATAACCCTCTTATAGTTTTTTTTTTATTCTAAAATGAAAATTCTGAAAAAATAAACAACCTCACAAAAAATAATAAAAAAAAAACACCTTTAGGAGGTACTGTATGTAGATTTAACCAATTTTGCTACATTTTATTCTTCATTATTACAGCATTTATATAGCAACAACAATTTACACAGTTCACATCACATCATTCCCTGCCTTCAAGGAGCTTACAATCTAAGGTCCTTTCGCACACTCATATAGGGGCAGTTAACCTTCCAGCATGTCTTTGGGAGTGTGGGAGAAAACCGGAGTACCCGGAGGAAACCCACGCAAACACAGGGAGAACATGCAAACTCTTTGCAGATAGTGACCTGACTGGGATACAAACCGCAGATCCCCATTGCTGCAAGGCAGAAGTGCTAACCACTAAGCCACTGTTTTATACTGCAGCAAATTACATCAGACTTTAAACACTGAATTTATATTGACGTTTTGCAGTGACACTAATTATCAAATTTATTAAAAGAAAAATCAGAGCCTTCTATTCATCCTATTTCTTTTCAGTACTTTTTTTTTACCAGCCCCTTTAATTTTCAATGCATGAAATTCTACCAGTGATGATTGCTGCAGTACCCAGTTATAGCCTGCTGGTGGCACTGTTGTAATAACTGACTACAGAACCTCTCTGGGTTTTCTGTTGCAGTGGAATAGTTTGAAATAATCATTTAACCCTTTCGCTGTCAGTGCGTTTTTTTTGCCTTTTTTGCACACATAATATAATCCACGCCTTAGACCTGGACATTACTTATTTTAAAATAATAATTTTAAATAATAAGATACTTGAAATTAGCTCAACTCTTTATCAAACCCGAAAATGTCAGTAAAAATTATACTTAATTTTAGGGCAGACAAACACAATATAATACCCATTTTTTGGGGGGTAAAATGTAAAAGAGGAGGTTGTGCCGAGTAAATAGATACCCAAAATGTGAGCATTGTCACCCTAGGACAGGATGTGTGTTATTGGCAGGATCGCCAGGTAAAACTATAGGGGAAAAAAAGCCTCAAAAAGAAAACTAATGCAGCCACCACATCTAAGGACTGCTAAGCTGCACTATATTACATTTTTGTTCTTGGGTTCGGATACACTTTAAATGGAAAATTTAGATCAATGTAGTATGAAAGATATTTTTAAGACAATGCAATGCATAGCACCTTGTGGCAACGGGGCCCTATTGCACTCAATGGATTATATCGTGTCCATGCAAAGTACCTGCACTGGAAATGACAATGTACCCAGTGTAAACCTGCTTTGGGACCTCTGCATTTTAAACTGAAACTGTTATTGTTACATTGTATGTTAAACTGTTGCTTTTAATAACAAGCAAGGAAAAAAACAGACACTGAAAAAGATAATACATAAATAAATAAATAAAGAAATAAATAAAAATAAATAAAAACTTACCAGGCCAGATAGATCATTGAAACCACAAATAGGAGCAAGACAAAGGCACCTGCCGCCACCCCGTAGACCCAGGTCTTCAGCTTTCCATCTAGAGGGAGCAAATATTAGGTTTTGATTAGAACAAGGGCTTCGGTATCGCAATATCAAAAAGGAAAAGCGTCTCACTTCATAAATAAATACACTGCAAACTTTTGGATGCCCCAGACTTACATATTATGTAGAGGCAACATGTGCATGCTGTGGAGATGACTAGCACAAGAATCTGTACCGTCTTATATTGTTTTTGCCCCCAAAAAACACACTAGGTCTTATTTTCAGGGGATGTCTTTTTTTTTTTTTTTTTTAACTATAGAGCAAGCTATAACAGTAACAGTCACAGTAACCGGCGCCATAGCTAATGTGGCTCTGCTCCCTCCGCCGCCGCAGCCTTCCTTTCTACAGCGCCGGCTTCCTTTGCCATCAGGGACAGCGGTAACAGCAGTGCAGCAGGGGGACATAAGACAGTGGACAGCGCGGTAAAATACATGCTACCACCAGGGGCGTAACTAGAAATCACAGGGCCCCATAGCAAAATTTTGTATGGGACCCCGTGATTTCTAGTTATACCGCTTCCCGAGCCCACTCGAGATCCCACCTGAGGGTGAACTTGCAGAGCCCACCATAGACTGTCTATGGTGGGCTCTGCAGGGTCACCCTCAGGTGGGCTGGTCACACTCCTTACTTGTCCGCCTCCTCCTTCTCCACGGTCGCTGATGGGCCCTGCCTCCTCCTCTGTCGCCGGGCCCGCCTCCTTCTACATCACCGGGCCCCGCCTCCTCCCCTGCTGCTGACCACGGGCCCTGCCTCCTCCTCCACTGCCGCTGCTGGCTCTCATTGACTCTGTGGAGAGGAACGCGCTGCTGCACAGATTACTGTCAGTGATCTGAACATCGGCGTGTTCGTCTTCAGCCGCCAGTGAAAGCCACCAGCAGAGGATCCCATAGCGACCCAGGTGGCCCGCACGGCATCTGGCCGGGCCCCACTGTGCCCCGGGCCCCATAGCGGCCACCTGGGTCGCTGTGGTGATTGTTACGCCACTGACTACCACCAAACTAGGTCTTATTTTCAGGGAATCTTAGGTCTTACAGGAATCTTGATAAATAGTGCTAGGTCTTACTTTCGGGGTAGGTCTTATTATCAGGGAAACAGGGTATATACAGGTAGAGTGTAAAGGAAAGATGGTCCATAAATGATACAAAACATGTAATTATGTAGTAATTGTTTTTTTTTTCTTCTGAATGTCTACCTACCTGAACCAAAAGGTTGCAGAAACCACGTCCTCCCACCATAGCCCGACTGACTGCTCGATGGCTGGGTAGGGTTGATGGCGCGACTTGTTTTTACATCCCCCTTCTTGTCATCAGAAGTGGGTATAATCACTACAGGGATGAGGGTGCACTGATCGAGGGTCCCATCTGAGGACATCACTTCCGTGTAACCGTCTTCGCAGCCACAGGATCTCGTCTGCATAAGACGAAAAACAATGCTTGTCCAATGGATGCTACCGAAACCACTAGATTATGTTACCCATAATATATTAAAATATCATATATAATATCATATCATATTAATACCACAGCAATTTTTTAAAATTTTCTGCTATGAGTCTGTTTACGCAGTGATAATTTTATCATTATTTAAATTACTAAAGTAATATTGTTGTTTTTTTTCTGGGGGACTACATAGGATTTATTCTGGCAATGTTTTTGCAAAAATATTTTATTTCATATTATTCTACAGATAAAAATATGTAAACAAAAGAAAAGAAAAATGAAATATTTTTCTAATTTGACCACTGCTGAGAAAAGGTTGTTTGTTTACTGTATAATTTTTCCCACTTAAAATTACAGTAAAATTATATTTCTGGTACAAAGCATGATAGATGTTTGCAAATGAAAAAAAAATGTTTTATTTTTTATTTTTACGCGTTTTCTTTTTGAAAATTACACTGAAAAAAATTACAGATAAAAAAAATTGAAATTAAAAATATACAATATACATATATCAGCCATAACATTATGACCACTGAGAGGTGAAGTGAATAACATTTATTATCTTATTACAATGGCACCTGGAAGTGGGGGGATATATTACAATGACACCTGGAAGTGGGGGGATATATTACAATGACACCTGGAAGTGGGGGGATATATTACAATGACACCTGGAAGTGGGGGGATATATTACAATGACACCTGGAAGTGGGGGGATATATTACAATGACACCTGGAAGTGGGGGGATATATTACAATGACACCTGGAAGTGGGGGGATATATTACAATGACACCTGGAAGTGGGGGGATATATTACAATGACACCTGGAAGTGGGGGGATATATTACAATGACACCTGGAAGTGGGGGGATATATTACAATGACACCTGGAAGTGGGGGGATATATTACAATGACACCTGGAAGTGGGGGGATATATTACAATGACACCTGGAAGTGGGGGGATATATTACAATGACACCTGGAAGTGGGGGGATATATTACAATGACACCTGGAAGTGGGGGGATATATTACAATGACACCTGGAAGTGGGGGGATATATTACAATGACACCTGGAAGTGGGGGGATATATTACAATGACACCTGGAAGTGGGGGGATATATTACAATGACACCTGGAAGTGGGGGGATATATTACAATGACACCTGGAAGTGGGGGGATATATTACAATGGCACCTGGAAGTGGGGGGGGGGATATATTAGGCAGCAAGTGAACATTTTTTCCCTGAAGTTGATGTGTTGGAAGCAGAAAAATTGTCAAGTGTAAGGCTTTGAGTGGCTTTGACAAGGGCCAAATTGTGATGACTAGATGACTGGGTCAGAGCAACTCCAAAACTGCAGCTCTTGTGGGATGTTCCCAGTCTGCAGTGGTCCAAGAAAGAAAAACCAGTGAATCAGCAACAGGGCCATGGATGGTCAAGGCTCATTGATGGACGTGGGGACCGAAGGCTGGTCTGTGTTGTCCGATCTAATAGAAGAGCTAATGTAGCTCAAATTGCTGAAAATGTTAATGTTGGTTCTGATAGAAAGGTGTCTGAACACACAGTGTATTGCACTTTGTTGCATATGGGGCTGCATAGCCACAGACCGTCAGGGTGCCCATGCTGACCCGTGCCCACCACCAAAAGTGCCTACAATGGGCACGTGAGCATCAGAACTTGACATTGGAGCAATGGAAGAAGGTGGCCTGGTCTGATGAATCATGTTTTATTTTACATCATGTGGTTGGCCGGGTGGGTGTGCGTTGCCTACCTGAAGACAAGCCGGTGGAAGCAGTGTGATGCTTTGAGAAATGTTCTGCTGGGACACCTCAGGTCCTGCCATTCACGTGGATGTTACTTTGACACGTTCCACCGACCTAAAAATTTTTGCTGGCCAAGTACACCCCTTCATGGGAACTGTATTCCCTGATAGCAGTGACCTCTTTCAGCAGGATAATGTGCCCTCCACACTGCAAAAATGGTTTTAGGGACACAACGAGTTTGAGGTGTTGACTTGGCCTCCAAATTCTCCAGATCTCAGTCCAATCGGGCATCTGTTGGATGTGCTGGAAAAACAAGTCGGATCCATGGAGGCCGATCACCTCACAACTTATAGGACTTAAAGGATCTGCTACTGATGGCTTGGTGCCAGATACCACAGCACACCTTCAGAGGTCTAGTGGAGTCCATGCCTGTATGGGTCAGGGCTTTTTTGGCATCAAAAGGGGCGCCTACTCAATATTAGGCTGGTGGTCATAATGTTATGGCTGATCAGTGTATTTGTATGGTAAAAAATATAGAAATGAAAAAAGCTGAAAAATAATAGCCATGGGGAGGAGAGGAGGAAGGAATTAATTAGGGACGATAAGGGTCAAAAAGGGGATAACTAGGAATACATTTAATAAAATACATTTTTTTTTACTTGTAAGGTTTCTTTAACTTATGTCATATGGAGATCAAAGGTCACAACTTTAATCCCCGGGGGAAGGTATCATTGGGTGGGGGGTAATCTGTCAATAGAACTTATTACTTTGAACTGAAAAGTGTAGTTTGCGTTTTTTTATTTTTTTTTGAGCATAAGTTAAAACCTCTCTCAAATTTTATTTGAAAAAAATCCTCCTCACTTCCTGTGCAGTTCCTGGAACAGGAAGTGAAAGGATTTTTTTTCAATAGGATAAATACCTGATTCTTCTTCACTCTATTTTATTGTTGTCTATACCTCTATTGGAATGATTCTGCTCACTTCCTGTACTTGTGACACAAGAGAAATTAGGGGAAAAAATCACACTGATGGGGATACAGACAGCAAAATTTAAAAAACAATTCCAACCCTTTGCCAGGTATTAAAAACTAAAAACAGTTTTGATTGGAGTTTCACTTTAATAACAAAAGACTCTTGTAGCTGTGTAGCACTTACTTGAGCTCTTGTGGCATATGTTGCTCAACTTCATTTTTTGGTGTTTTTTTTAAATAATTGGCTCATATACTTAATTCCATAAATAATTAAACACTTTTTTTGTTGTTTCTAATTTAAGGTTACGTGACGTCAAAATGTGAACCCCACTGGGAGCTCCGCTGATAGCAGGAGGCTAATAGGCAAAGTGATAAAAGAACAGCTAAAGTAGCAGTAAAGTAATTACACAACTTTGTGCCAATTGAGATTTCAGCAGCGACAGAGACAAGCCATCGATCATACTTATACGACAATTAAGAGGGAGCCGTTCTTCAGGCAGGCGGCCGCTCTCTGTGTTATGGATGATATGGGAAATGTAGTGGAACCGCTCCGCATAATGACATGTGGGGTTCCTTCCCCAGTGCCGGTACTTACCTCTGTGCAGTAGGAGTGTTGCTGCGTGCACTGCGGATTACATATCCTTTCACTTTCTGGTTTGAGGACTTCAAAACAGCCTCCTGGAGGGCAGGAAACAAGGTTAATACATTGAAGCTATTATGTTTCTTTTTATAGTCAGCGACAAAGAAAGCGACGAAGCCAGGGGATCAGTATGGCAGCTAGCAATGTCATAATGAGTAGTGACCAAAATCTGCCTATGCCCCTGGTTCATTAAGCTGCAAGTTGCACTTAAAGGGTAATAAAGGGTAACTTCACTTTAAAACAAATAATAAAAAAATTCCTAAAAAATATAGCATATATAATTGTCGCACAAGCCATTTTGTAATTTAATTACAAAATAATTTAATTTAATAATTACCTTTCCATGTTCTAAATCTGTAAACAAAAATTCAAAGCAATATGGCGACCAGGACGTGTCCCGTACACAGTTGGTATACAGAACGCCCCCAGAAATGTCACTTCCTGCTTCTGTAATTGGCTGACTGATTTTTCCCAGAAGTCTGCACTAAGGTACTAGCCAAATTTTTGGCATCCCTTGGAACAGGAATTTTTGACGAGATACTCCCTAAGAGTTAATTACTACTAAAGGGATGCCAACACTGCACCTTTCCTCATTACACTACAGAAAGTCCACCAGCTGATTATAAAGAACCCTCCCCTCCCCATCCAGGGATCAGTCTGCAGAGGACATGGTGAAACAAACAGATATTTCTTCACAACAGAAACAGGTCAGAATCTGCGACAAGGTTTGTTAAAATCCTTCCAATGTACACAGATCACCCAGAGAGAATTGTTTGTTTGTTTTTCTCAAAAAAAGTGGAATAACTATTTAAGGCAAATTTGCCACAATTTATTTTTGTTCCTGGATAGAGTGGTCACACAGCCTGGTGAAATATCATACCTTTGTGCGAGGTGGACCTGAATGGAGCAGACTAGAGGAGAGGCAGCTTGGAATTGAACAGGTTGGTAGACGGGGGAAAGGGAATGGACAAGACTGGCAGAAAAGGAATAAAGAAGGCAGGGGGAGAGGCAGCTGGGAACAGAGGAGGTTGGGGGACAGGCAGACTGGATCAGAGCAGGCTGAGGTAGAGGGGAAAGAGAGTGGAAAGGATAGTGGGAAAGGGGAAAGCGAATGGAGAAGGATGCAGGAGAGGGGAAAGGGAATGGAGAAGGCTGGTAAGAAAGGGAAAGGAAATGAAGAAGGTTGGGGAAAGGGAATGGAGATGGCTGGGGGAGAGATGGCCGGTAATGAAGCAGGCTGGGCGAAAGGGGAAAGAGAACAGAGAAGGTTTGGAGAAAAGTGGCCAAGTATGGAGCAGGTTGTAGGAGAGGTGCCCAGGAAAGGAGCAGGCTGGGGGAGAGGCTGATAGGAACTGAGAAAGCTGAGGTAGAGGTGGATGGGAGCATAAAGGGCTGGGGGAGAGGGTGAAGGAATGACAAAGACAGGGGGAAAGGGAATGGAGAAGGCTGCTGGAGAGGCAACTAGGAAAAGAGCATGCTATGGGAAAGGGGAAAGAGAATGTAAAAGACCATGGGAAAGGGAATAGAGAACCCTTCGGGAGAAGTGAAAGGGAATGGAGAAGGCTTCAGGAAAAGGTATGTTAATGATGTTTACTTATATTAGGCACAAGAACAACAAAACAAGAAAGGCAACAATAAAAAAAACATATTAACCTGTCACATTAAGCCCGTCTGATCTCTGACACCAAACTGTCCGGGAAGATGATTTCCATGGACCCGATAACCATTTGTATTCAAAGCATTGTCCGTCTGTGCAGGAAGAAAGACAGAATAGAATGGATTAGTATTGTTAAAATAAATTATTGTTATATAGGTGCTAAACTGGATCCCAGGAAGCCTCCTTAATATTGTACTTCAAATAAAGCCATACGACTATAGTTACAGACTATGCCACATCTTGGGACTTAGGTGCTTCCTTGAGCTCCTCTTTTAATTGGTTGCCCATCACCAAATTACACCATGATCCTGACCCATGCCAAAATTTGTTGAAACTCTTCAGATAAATTCAAACCCAGCCCATGCAGAACCAAGCCCAATTCTCTAGGCCTGTGGTGCCCATGGGCACACCCAGATCATGAATGGGACATTCTTCTACAGCCCAGACTACAATATGTTACATAGAAGTATGACTATTAATGGCCTTGAACTTTCCAAATATACTCATGAATATATAGTCACATTATACTATGTAACAGCTCCTTTATACAAACTACTAATTTAGATGTATTTTATAGACTATATATAGACTTGTTTTTACACCTTCTTGCAGTTTTAGTACATATTTTCATATATTTTAAATCTATAAAATGTATTTGTGAGCTAATTTATGATACACACACTCACCAAGTGTCAGTACACCTACCGTGGCATGGTTTGGACTCCAACATTTGTTCTGGGCAGAGATGTTGGTTTTCCAGTTCTTGAATAATTACTGCTCTTGAGCGCACCTTAACACCTCCAAATCCAAGATTCTGACCATTGACACAGGTCAGCTGGCACAAACTCCACTCCGACCAGTCATGCAGATAGCAGTCTCCTACAAGGTAAAATAAAGATCAATATGTTGCAGTACTACAGCTAGCTGTCTAGCCATTATAAACCCTTTACAAAGTGGTTTTCTTGGCAGGATACAAATGCACAAATAAGGCACCTAAGGACGTTAGGTAACAATCTCCAGATCTGGCAATTGCTGCCTATATTGGGGGATAATCCTTTTATCACAGGGATGGCCTTCATGACCATCAAGTTTAATTGCTACTGTTATCCCCAAGATAAGACATCACTAGGGCTGCCTGCTGCCCGGGAAGAAACACTTTCCTCCCTTATCTACAACACCCAACTCCAGTTAAAATTTGGGAGACATCAAGACAAGACAACAATAAAATTAATATAGAGGCTCATATTATCTCAGTGTTCAGGTTAATGCCCAAAGGTGCTCTAGTGGACATCATGAGATGGTTGGATCATGTGTGCACATCCCATTGTTCCCTGATGTTCCAGGATTGTTTAATTTAGTCAGCTGCCTGTAACCCTGTTTTATTAGCAGTATGGGAAAATCTAACATAACCAACTCAAGAGCAGATAGAACTTGCAAACTCCTTGCAGATTGCGTTCGTAGTGCATCAAACCCAGACCCGAAAACTATTAAGCTGGTCATAAATGGTCCTAGCAGATGATGTTTCCTGGTTTTGAGCTGCACCACCAGTTTATAACCATTTGGGAGTCATAGGTTAAGAAATTGGCCTTCTCCACTGTATTTAAAACAAAGAGACAGTATAGCCATACAGGTGGGAGGAGGGACTGAAGGAATCAAAAAACCCTCCAATCATTGGGTTCCAAAGGCCTACTCCATAGAAGCCATGGTTTCCATACACTACACTGATGATGGTCAAAAAGCCTGAAACACCTGTATGCAGTTTTGAATAAATGCCTCTATAACATTATGCTACATTTGCTCTATACACTAGCGGTCCTGAATGTGCAACTGGCGGGTGGGGCTTAAAGGAATGATTTGCATGGCCCACTGTCCTGAAATAAGGAATAATCCTCTCGTTTTTGGAATATGTGATGGAATGAGACATGTGAAGACCTTCTGATCTAAGAAGGCCTAAAATATAATTCTATCTGAAGTTCACCTTTATTTTAGTTGGTCTCTCTTGGTAACACATACAGTATATTCCTCTCATCTTGAAGGAGCTCTGTACTAACCTGGACACGGTACAATGCAGGACTCTTCTAGTACAATGTTCTTATCACCGTTGACCAAAAGCTCAATGTCTCCACAAAACTCCTCATCCACCATTTTCCCCGAATCTTCTGGAGTGCCATTATAAACCACACAGGACATGTTCCTGAATCGGGTGCCTTCGCCGCACTGGGCATCCTGTTGAAGACCAAAATAAGGTGATATAATATAATACAATATTGTACAGTTATCTGTACTCACTGTTTCTGGGTCAAAGGTTCCAGAAAGCATTGAAGACAACGCATTAGCCTAGCTGCCAAGCAAATAACATTTTCACAAGGACTGCAATAGTAGTCTACATATTTCTCCTATCGCAGGTTTAATTGCTTTGAGTTGAAGATGAAATTTAAGTAAACAGCTAAATAAACAGATGAAATGCAGATATGAGAACTGTATTACCTGCCAGAGGATATTCTAGGCATTCCTAGGAAGACTGTATTTTTATGTAGACCACCCTAAATAACAGCTACTATACAGTACATGCTGAGCCTCCATGATTGAAAGAACTGGGATCCAATGAATAAAAGGGGTGGGCCAGGGACAATAAGCCTAAGGGGTGGGGAGCAAGATGTCTGCAAGCCAGAAAATAAGGCATTCTCTATCTGGCTTGCTGTAACTTCTATGAACAGAAAGAAGAGCATATGTATTGGTAGATATGCAACCTGGCTGCATTACAGTAATACATACCTTGGCTTCAATGTTATTTTCTTTACAAAAATCTTCCCACTAGATTATATAAGCATTGAGCATATTTTATGGATGTTATGTACCCTTATGTAGACATCTGTAGACATCTAAAAGCTCTGAGACTGCTGCTGGGCACCGCTATCTGGGACGGACGTAATGTCAGCAGTCCCAGTAGACTTACAGCTGTCACTCTAGTGACATTCTATGGTATTTTCCTTTGCTCCTGTGAGCTAAGGTTATATCGGGAGGTGAAGGGAGGGGCAGAGGAGCATGGACAGCACAGAAAACAATTAGACACTCCCAGAATAGCAGAAGGCTATGATGTGCAAGGAGGGAGGTGGGCTGTGCTGTGCTGGGGAATTAAAGGACAACTATGAGGTGAGTGATTTACACTCATCCTTATAGTTAGAGCCGAAGTATGATAATGAAACTGCCACACGTCGACTATAGATCAGTAAGTGAGCAAACACATACCGTCGCTCGCTCACTTCCCGATCATCTCACTGCAGAGAGCCGTGACTGTTAGTCACCGCACCCAACAGGGATTCCCCACAGCTGGCGCTGGGGCATGTGCGCCAGCTGCCCGGTGCCAGGAGTCCTGCCAGGAGGACGGGAACCCAGTGCCCTGCGCCACCGCTGGCGAGCCTGGTTAGGAGGAGCACCCCTGGTTCCCTGACACCGATTCTCCAGCCCTGACTGGAGGAAAGGACAGGGGAGGGGGCAGGCACAGCTGGCTCTGCCTCTAGATAGGCAGAGCACACTGTCAATCAGCTAGCTGGGTGGATCCCAACAGTATTGTCGGGATCCGTCCCGTCTGTGGCGCTTTCAGCATATAGCGGGCAATAGTCCGCTATATACTGAACTTTGGGTCAGGGAGGAGGTTAGTATATGTGCTCCCGTGACCCTAAAGAGAACTATGGAATAAAAAGGTTACCCCATAGTTCTCATTTAACTCTTCTTAGGGTAGTCACATTTTCTAGCAAGGCAAATTGCAAGTGAATAAAAATTGTTTATGGAAAGGAAAACACTGCAAGTAAGCATTTACAGTACTTGGTTTCCTTTGCTTTTACCAGCAATTTTTTCAGTTGGTTGCAGGGTCTCTTTAAGACGTTAAGACATTTTGCAGTGTACTATACCTCTGTTGATTTTTTTAGAGCTTGTCATTTATTGAGCATAATATGAAGAAATAAACTGATACAATTATATGTCGTCTGGTGAGGATCCTGTGGGATTTATAATGCCTTTTCCACATCGCATTACGACTTAATGCGCACAGGCAAACCGGAAAACGCTTTTACCTGCAAATCTACTAAGCATCGACTCCTGCCTGTTATTGCAGAATCTAGAGGGAACGCGGTAATCACATGATTGCTGCTGACACATCTTACTGCCACTTAGAGCGGTTTACATCAGTCAAGTGCAGCATTTTATTGGAGTGTTAGTTTGTCTTCTATGATATAAATGATTCTTCATTGTGATCTGCAGGTGAATGAAGCGCTGTCATGTCCCAGTGATTGCAATCAGCATGTGTGGAGTATATGTGATGATGCCAGAGCTGATCTGACACATAACTGTGATAAAAGTCGGTTATGTTTTCTGGTAAACCATAGACACAAGACAGTCTGGAGCTGGAGTTCAAATCAAATGTTTGCTTGTTTAAAAAGAATAATTCATGGTTGAACTTCGCCAAAAATGTTAAGCTGAAGAGCTACAATTTTTCATTTTTTTTTTCCTGTGGACAAGCAATCTTTCAGTAATACAAAAAAGGACAGAAGGGCGCCCAACCTAGTGCAGATTATTTTTTATTTTAAAAGACACAAAGATAAAATTGCAATGGTACTCACAATGGAGGGTCATAAAACAGCTTGTGTGGATGTTTTGGAAGAAACAGCAGTTGAGACTGCAATCTGCCTGTATGCCACTGTGGTGTGGCGGTGTTGACGCGTTTCCGGGGTCAAGCCCCCTTCCTCAAACTTCTGCCACTGGCTATGAGGCATTTTTGTGGGGCTTTGAGTGCCTAGTTATCCCAGGAGGCAGAGATAAGGCACAGTGACATGCTTCCCGGAAGCTGGGATGGAAGTGATTATATACATGTATATTATATAGGGTATATAGTATTGCTAATTTTAATTTGGCAGTTGGTGTGTCTGTGTGTGTTGGTTGAGGGTGGGAGGAGGGGTGTATGGCAGGGAAGCAGACCTTTCAATTCTTATGAAAGGTCTATTTTGAATGGGCAATCTACCCAAAAGAGATGTTTTTGGATCAGCCTCTGGCTTCTTACATGCCTTGGGAGCTCGAACAGTGAGATCTCTTTGCAGATATCCCAAGTCCTCCCACTATGTTTTCCATATTATAAAACTATTTGAACAAAATCAACAGAGGGAGCGGGAACCCCTCATAATGGGCACAGCAGGTGTGAAGATCCAGGAGTGCGGAGATCTCACCTTCAGAGTCCTTGAGAAACGTTGAGGGGGTGAGAACGCTATGCAACCAGCATTGAGCATTCATAAATCATCCCCTTATTATCCTATTTGAGGTAGTGTGCTACGTTATTGCTACATAAACGATCTGGAAATTAAAGTGTCAGGTTGCACAGCATTCTTGCCACTAGATGGAGTCGTGGGGTATAGAAATTCCTATGCTCATTGGCTCCGTCTAATAAAGGCTAATAACCAGCATTTGGCCAGTGTATGATTGGGCAGATTATATATAAATCAACCCCTTATTATCCCACGTGAGATAGTCTGCTACTTTATCGCTACCTAAATGGTCTGGAAATTAAAGTGTCAGGTCACACAGTGGTTGCACAACATTCTCGCCACTAGATAAAGCCAAGGAGCACTTCCTATGCTCGATCTAGTGGCAGGAATGCCCAGCATATGGCTGGCTGGATGATTTATAAATCTTACCTTCGGTGTACTCTGTTATATTTTTGAGTAGAGTTGAACACAGTTTACACATGACTATAAAGAAATATCTTGGACGTGCCATACCTCTACAGCACACTGGGACCAGCGTCCATACTGCCATCGGTAACACGGCTTCACCGGACAAGGCTTGGACTGCTCCATCTGAGGAGGACAAGGGCGCCCATCGCCCTGAGAAGGTTGGATCACGGATCTCTTCCTGGTCATCTTCCCTGCAATGGCAAATATCTCCGCTATTATAATTCATATCAATGACAAAAAATGTATACAGCTGAATAGTTAAAAAGGAACTTCTGCAAAAAGTCAAACATTTCTAACATGTCCATGTAGCAGGTCCAAATCTGAATTCTTAAAAAATGTTAAACCATGGAGATCCCATGAATTAGAGGTCTACATAACAGTCATGTTGGAACAATTTAAAGCGGGGGTGGGCAGTTAATTTTCTCAAGAGACCACATTAAAAGCTGGGACTGTTGTGGAGGGCCACCACATTACTGTGAAGGTGCATAGGTACACATGCAGATACATAAATTGATATAAAATCCAATAGGGGCACTCCAATGGATGCAACTAATAATTAGTTGTCCCCATCAACGAGTGCCCCCTTACATTGGTTGTACTCATCAGAAATACCCTAATTTTGTAATTAATGTAAGTGCGCACTCAGATGAGGACAACTAATAATTAGTTGTCCACATAAGAGTGTCCCCTTAAATTGACTAAGCAAAAAAATGGTAAACGTACTCATCAACTTGTTACCAGCTTTACAGCAAGGTGTACATGGAAGGGCTTTATACAGTAAAACAGCAAAAAGTTTTCCCAGCACACTCACCAGCCAGCATACCAAATAACTTGTCTCACCGCTAAGGTTAAAAACAGAGGTTTAGATACACGTCTTCTGCAGAAAATGTGAAAGCCGCACAGCCACGTCAAGGCACCTCTAAATAGTGCGGTCCTAACTCTAATGAGAGTCTCCATCTTGGAGCAGATATGGAAAAATATCAAATTGGGTGCAGGTTTGTCAGGAGGAAGCCCAACCTCCCTTAAAAGGCACAGAGATGCATAAGGGATCCCACACATCACAACAACAGCTAAGACCCCCCATGCGTCACTGTACCAAATCAGTCAAGCAAACAAGTTGATGAGTGTGTTTGCCATTTTTTTGCTTGACTGATTTGGTGCAGTGACGCATGGGGGGGTCTTAGCTGCTGTTGTAATGTGTGGGATCCCTTGTGCATCCCTGTGCCTTTTAAGGGAGGTTGGGCTTCCTCCATGGGATAGAAAGAAGAGAAGTTAGAACCTGTCAGCTTTTATGGCTCTCACGGGCTCCATTGGTGAGATGTCCCCTTACTTCCTGTTCTAGGGAAAATGTTTTACCAGACAGGAAATGAGGGGAAATCTGCAACAAGAGAGCAGACAACAACAAAAGCCGACATGTTCTAGCCTTCCCCTAAAAAAATTAACGTTTTTACTCCTGTCTGATTTCCCCTAATTTCCTGTCCTGAGAAGAACCTTTTTACCGGATCATAATTGAAAGAATCTCTCCAATTAAGCCTCTGATAGCAGTAAAACCTGACAGGAGTTGCTCACTATTTCCAAAGCCTATAAAACATTTGGGGCTATACAAACCCTCCTTGTATGTGCATCTGATCTTTCCTGGCAGTGTATTATTGCAAATGAAAAAACTCAGCTCCCACGCAGCAGATGATGTGATGGTTCTTCTTGCTGGCAACCAGAATATTTCAGTGCAATTTTGGCAAAATGTGCTAAAGTTTATAGGAAAGTCGAAATTATATGGATGTTAAGGGTGCAATGGAGTTTAATTGGCTTCTAAGGGTTACCGAAGTTCCTTCCCACTATCTTTGACCTGTTCTTGTGGCAAAAAAGGGACCCACAATTGCCTCATTATTTAACTTTTTCAAAGAAAAAATGCAAGAGTAAAAAAACAAAAAAACATTCTTAGTGTATTTGCGTTTCAGGTTAAATGTAACATAATACCACATTATGGCCTCTAGATGGAGCTGAGGAGCATATAAAAAACAACTACTTCTTTCCTATGCTCCTCAGCTTCATCTAGTGGCCATAATGTGGTATTAGATTACATGACGAATGTTCTTAGTGTATTTGCTTTTATGGTTGAATGTAATATAATACCACATTATGTCCTCTAAATGAAGCACAGGAAACATTACTTCTTTCCTATGCTCTTCAGCTCCATCTGGTGCCCATAATGTGGTATTTAATTTCATTCGACCTAAAAAGAAGATTTACTAAAGCTGGCCATACACCTATAGATTATCTGCAGATTTTCTGTGGTCAGATGGTAAAAGTGCGACAGATTCCTCCATCTACGTGTGGATGGAGGAATCTCCCACTGGGCCAAGCTTCAGTATCTTGCTAGTCGGCCTCGCTGGCTCTCAAAATACCCAAACAATGACTGCATCCAATCAGAGTATTCAGGTATTTTGAGAGCTAGTGGGGCCGACTAGCAAGATACTGAAGCTTGGCCCAGTGGGAGATTCCTCCATCCACACGTAGATGGAGGAATCTGTCGCACTTTTACCATCTGACCACAGAAAATCTGCAGATAATCTATAGGTGTATGGCCAGCTTAAGCATGCTCCCTTTTGCCTATATTTACACAAAACAAATGTTCACAGAGATTGGCAGGGCTAACAAACTGTTTATAAATAGACCCGTAAATTAAGTCAACTAAACTACCCTACACCCAAAAGAAAAAAACAACCTCTAGTAAAGCAAATTTCATTTTCCACCTTGACAAAATTTTGCCGAGGGCAAAATTAGTAATTTGTTAGTCACAACAATAATGCTGAAATCACTCCGCTCATCCCTACTGTGACTGGTGGTGGGGCTGCTGTGAGATCATGACAGGATGATTGCACTACTTCCTGATATCTGGACAGTGCAGCCCTCTAGTTATTAGTCAGCTACAATAAACTGCTGAAAACATACTCCTGGGTTGGTTTCTATCAGTTCCATCATTCTTTCTATCCATTCTCATTGCTCTTTCAGGATTTTGAATAAAACAGAATAAAGGGCACAGTCCCCTTTCTTCATCCCTTTATCTTCAGTGTAGACCCTACCGAGCCGATAGATGGAATAAGAAGGTCCTCCATGGCACAGTGCAGTGACACTTCTCCATGTGTCCTCTGTACTTCATCATAGGACAGACATCACTGTGTTATGTTTTCTGCTCCACAGCTCCACCTTAGAACTTCTTTTTCCAGCACCACTTGGTGGTGCACCCACCTTAATTGTAAAGGAGCAATAGCAACTGCAAATGGCTGCTGTGACTTCCGTCCCTACACCATGACGGAATAACAATGCCCTGGGATCTGCAAGGTGCCACAGACTGCCAATCTCAGTTGCTCCAGCAGAGCTCCAATAACTTTCAAATTATGTAAATCTTAAAATAAATACCGACCTGACAATCCACAGCCTTGAGAACACGCCGACCAAGGTGACCAATCAGAGAGCTGACAATTTACAGGACATTCGACCACACAGGAGATGTTCATCTGCCATGTCTTCTCCAGCCCCAGCTGCAAAGAAATGTACAGGTTTTACTAAAGATCAACTAAACATCTAAATACAGAAGTGTAATATGTATTTGGTACCTGTCCAAGGAATTAGGTCATAGATGCAAAATAATCAAAAGTGGAATGAGCCAGGAGCTGTTAGGCACTAGGTAGATGTTCTGCTGACTGAGCCATAATGACAATGCATAAAGGAGACCGGGGAGACATATAAGCCTCCCCTTATTACAAACTTCTGAAAATAAGGAATTACCCTTTCTGCCCTTGGTTTTAATAATTTATGAGATGCCAACCCAGAGAGTATTGGAGCCAGGTCATCATGATATCCAATACAACTGTGAAAAGGTTTTGCCTTCCTCTGGATCAACGGGGGGTAATTGCGGGCATAGCGTTCTGTTTAGGCTTTTTTTTTTCTCATATGTCTATAGGTTGAACTCGATGGACTTGTGTCTTTTTTCAACCTGACTAACTATGTAATACATGCCAACACCTCAGGGCCTCTCTGGGTCCATTTATCAAGGCAACATAGTGAAAAAAAACATAATCTTAAAGGTGAATATATATAATGACCCAGGGCAGCTCCTTCATGACATCATGATGATGTTATAGCCCAGCAAAAATAAAAAACCCAACGTAACCTAGAAGCGGTGAACACTGTCTGTAGAAGGTAGCATTGCAGAAGTTCCTCTCTGGGTAATAGTGTGATTGCTAGCTTGGCACATGGGACAAAGCACGCTTGACCTTTCTCAATGAGGCAATCAGACTGCCTATTATAGAGTTGGAAGTTGGACTTCTTTAATAAGCAATGGTAAGCTATTATACATTGAGTACCTAAAAGTACTCAATTTACATCAGTCATGTGATGAAGAAACACCTACCTCCTCACAGAACTTCAGATCCACGGATTTGCCGTCGCTCCGCACGCAGTCCAACATTCGTGTTTTGAAGCCGTTCCCACAAACAGCCTTTTCGCTGAGCTGACACGTGCTCCAATCTGCAGGCAGCACACAACGGGTTCGTTAGTATGGAGTCTTCCTACTTGTAGGTTAAGCAGTGTAGAGGTTGTCACACAATTTAACATTTTGTATATTTCATTGATCTTCTTGTCTTATGGCAGCATATTCATTGATCAACCCCGTGTCAGGTTTTTGTTAATGTCTATGTTGATGTGGATATTCACTCTCTCTATTTGTCCCGGGACCACTGTCACTGAGACAGAAGGTAATAGGAAATCTAAAATTTTAGAGCTGGCACCAGAACCAAAGGTGAGGGCATATCTCCCAATGGGGAGACTTGCCAAAGATGAGACTTTTCTTCACTTTGGGTAGATTTCCTCTCACTTCTTTTTGTGTCTCCAGATGTGAGGGGAGGTCTACCCAACTGTGACTAGCGGTCCAAACTAGGCCAGTAAAATTTTTAGTGACTCAGTACCAGTGTACCATAATTACACCTTTTAGGCCCGTATATATTTTCAATCCAGTGTCAGTTTCAGAAGACTTTATACAAGGCAGAGCTTTGCTTTTGTGTTGACCCACCACCCCTTTCCCTAACCATTGACCGTATTTAAGATATTTGTAAGCTGCTCCCTGCTCACAGCTTCCCTCCAGCTCCCAATAAAACCACCTCATCTAGGAAATGTAATTGCTAATACAAGCTACTGATTGGCTGCTGGCATGAGCTAATTAGAAACTGGCACTGTGAGCCACATCTCTTGGAGAGGAGGACTCTTTAAATTAAGCAAAACAATAAGAATTAATGAAACAGAGCAAATTCAAATACACAACCCAAATAGCCCAACAAAGGAAAAAGAAATCTGAGCTTTCACTGCTCACAGAGGAGGTCATAGGTCACAGCAATTTTTAAAGACTACACTCGCAAAAACAAGCCATGCATGTGCCTTCAAAGGTATATTCAGGAATAATTCTGGTAACCGATTGGCCCCTTGGTGACCTACCTGTCACATTGTACTCGTAATGGAAGCAGTTCTTGTTCAGCATGCACGGCTCAGTCTCAGCGGCAATGTGACAAGCCTTGCCTTCCTCCGCCTGTCTGATGGGGAACGCTGACCGCTCACGAATGCCAGTACCATCACAAGGCTAGGAAACAGAGACGGGAATTGATGGTGAATAATAAGCGAATATCTCAAAAACAAAGATTAGGGGAAACAATTGCTGGGCGAGGCAGAGAGGCTTTCCCATAATAAAAGCAGAGTCTGCAAACACACAATCACACATTAGACAAGCAAATTAAACAAACAACAACCTCAGACTCAAGCCGAGAATTAAAACGCTAAACATGTCATTACCGGGGAAACGCAGCCTACATTTGCATGATAATGAGCCTCTTCCAGACATAATGACGGTAGTTAGGCAACTTAGCAACTTAATTATAATATTTAAATGAGGGAAAATGTAAATTTTTTCCCCACAAGAAACCATAAAGGGCCACCCCACCACAGTGGCCTGCTGCATGCTGAGAGCTGTAGCCCCAGGAGGCAATGTTGGCACCTTGGCAGTTACCGGGGCTGGGCCCTTTTCCTTTCCACCCCCCAAGTGGCAGAACGCTAGGGCCCGGTCGTACATGAAACTGCTGCAACCCGGTTCCACCAGTGGCTCCTGCAACATCAGTCAAATAGAATAATAAAAACATAAGAGAGGAGGAGGGATCGGCAAGCAAAATGCTTGGTGTTGTTCTCCAACTTTGTGTGGGACTTTCCAAGCCCCCATATGACTGTACTCCACCATCTGACCGTACCCCTCCCCATCTGACCATACCCCACCATCTGACCGTACCCCCAATCGGACTGTACCTCTCCCCATCTGATCATACGCCCCACATCTGACCATGTCCCCCATGTGACCATACCCCCTATGTTAATGTCCCGTCCCCCCCTCCATCTGACTGTAATCCCCATCTGACTGTAACACCCTCCAATCGGAGGCCTGGTCTATTGTAACCTCTAATAGGCAACAGTGTGATCTAGCTATAAAGTAAACCTAACGGCGCCATACCTCTCCACGCTTTCCCAGAGAAGCCAAGACATGGGTGAAGATCAGGCAGAAAAAAAGCTGAGATGCAGACAATGATCTGGCCATGTGTGACAGGTTATGTTTGGGGCTCTACACTGATCTCTACTGGAGAATTAAGGTTACCGGGGCCAGGCCCTCCTCTTCCCAAGTCTTCTTCTTAAGTGGCGGAACACCAGGGCCCGGTCGCATATGCGACCGCTGCAACCCTGGTAGTTCCACAAGTGTACCAGTGTGTATACTGTATATATACAGTCATGGCCAAAAATATTGGCACACCTGCATTTCTGTCAGATAATGTACCAGTTCGTGCAGAAAATAGTTGCAATGACAAATGTTTTGGCATTCTCATGTTTATTTCTTTTGTTTGTATTGGTAGGACACAAAAAAGTGGAGGAAAAAAAAGGCAAACCTGAAACATTCCAAGCAAAACTCCAAAAATGGACTGGGCAAAATTATTGGCACCTTCTCCAAATTGCAAAAAAATTATTGCATTCCAAGTTTGTGATGCTCCTGTAATTTGTAATTAAACTCACCGGTATCAATTAACAGGTGATGACATATAGAAATCCCACTGGCAACCAGTTAAAATGGTGAAAGATTTACTCAACCTTTCTGTTGTTTGTTTCTGTGTGCCACACGGAGCATGGCGAAGAGAAAGAGCAGCAAAGAATTACTCTCCAGCACTTTGTCTGAAACCATTTCTGAGTGCTTTTTGAGGTGTGATTTGTCCTGCCCAGCGTGACACTTGATTGAGGACCAGGGAGTTTGGGACAATCTTAGGAGGTTATAATAGGTGGAAGCATTTGCAAGGCCTTAGTACTGGCCCTTTCATGGGTGGAGGAGTCATGTAATTTTCCTTTAGCTGGTACCCATCGGCCTTTAGCTAGGGGTATATATATATCAAGGAGGGGTTGGGACCTGGGAAGAAAGGTGGATAAGGACAATCTTAGGTGGTGATAATAAGTGGAAGCCTTTAAAAGTCCCTGGTGCTGCTCCTTTCATTTATGGGGATGCATGGAGGTCCCCATCGCCCTTTAGCTAGGGGTATATAAAGCAAGAAGGGGTGGAGTTCGGGAGGAAAGGTGGATAAAGACCAACAGGCAGAAGACTGGGCCTCCTGGACCCTTTAGGGACAGATAGGGCCTCAGCTGAGACAATGAAATTGCCCATGTTGCAGTGTTTTTTTTAGGAGGAATGTCGCTTGTTCTTTCCCCGGTGTATCCAGAAAACTCCCTAGAATGGGCCAGAGAAGTGGACATGGCCAGGCAGGGAAGGTGGAACTGTAATATGGACTGTTCTGTTGCCATATTCTGTTTGCCAAAGATGATAGTGGACTAAGTTTTGTTGTTCTTATGGATTGAAGAATGTCCAGGAAATTGGAGGGGCCTTGTACAGGTAGGTCAGCCAGCCTGGTGGTGGTGATGGGTCTCTTGAACATGGACTATGCGCCTTGTAACTCATGACCCTAGTGATTCCTGGGCTGGGTGTTCCAGGCACCCTCCAATGGACCAGGTCTAAACCACGGACATTTGGGCCCCTTTCAACGAAGTCATGTCTAAGTGTGTGTGTGTCTCAGCAAGGCCTATAGGCCGAGAGAGTGGAGTCAGAGTGATGGAATTGGGTTTCCCACTGCCCTTGGCTGGAATTGTGTTACTGTAGGCCAGTGTGGGAAATAGCATAACAAGTCGCCACAAGGGGGCACCACACATTCATCATTGATAGCAAAGATTTTCTGGCTTGTTAAATCTTCCGGAGATGGCGATCCTATCCAGATGAAAATTGTGAGTCAAAACGAATCCTCTTGCTTCAAGAGTTGTAAGCATTTTTATACTACTAATAAATATAAAATAGAACAAGAAATGTGAAACTAAAAATTGATTTGCTGAATAAAGTTCTCGCAAGAATTCCAATTTGTGTTTAAGGTTGTCTTCATGGAAGAAAACAAAGTTTGTTTTTGGGTTATAGAGTAATTGTGCATTAGACATGTAAGCTGTGGAAAATTTCGGTTCGGTTCGGATATTTCGTTATTTTGTGATCCGGTATTCGGATCGGGTTTCGGATTTGGACGAAATACTAATTTTCGTTAGTTTTGGATGAGTTTACAAATATTTGCTGCGAATACCACAGAAAACCATCTACAGATATTAATACTAAAGCTAGTCCCTAGACCTGAATGGCATTCGGGATCCAAATTTCCAAATAGCATGCAGGAGCTCCAGAACGCAATTCTGAAATTCGGTTCCTGAATGGCATTCGGGTCTCGGAGCCTCAGCTTTAGTATTATATGTATATACAGTATATGGCTCCCATGTTGCCGTAACAAAAATTCATGTTCTGACCTATTGATGCATGAAACTGAAAAACACATCTGATTGGCCAGAAAAGTCACATGTCCCATTCAGTTTAATTTTCGAATGAAATGCGGACGGGATCCGAAATACGTAAACCTAAATTCAGATTTGGACACATTCAGATGCATTGCGATTCGGAAATTCGGATGTGCCCGATTGTCCAAATTTCGGAAAATTCATCTGAATTTTGATTTGGAACTAAACTAATCACACGTGTCTATTGTGCATTAATATTTTTGGGTATGTATGCTTAGATTCCAAACGCATACTGGTCATTTAAGTGCCTTCCACCCAAATCAGCCCTAGTGTGCACTTGAACTTGAGTTAGGCTTATAGGATGTGAGCTCCCATGGCGCAGGGATTGAAGTGATTGGTTATATCCGCACTCTGAAGTGGAGCATTGGTGTTATCTAAAATATTTTCCAAATACAAAAAATATATTTCGATCCTAATCAACTATTAACCTGTTTAAGCTTCATCTTATATAAATATTGTGATTTGTATTTCCTTCCTAATTAATCTCAAAGAACTCGTTGCCAGACCTCCGTCCTCCCGGTTGCATCTCAATGCAGTATTAACATACTAATTAGCTTTCGCCCATTCTGTACCTGCGCGCAGTGTGAAAGGCGCACAATACAATTAGTATTCTAATGACCGCCCATTGTCTGACATCTTATTAGTTCCTTTATCTTTACTAGCAGGAGAAATACATATTCAATTAGGACGCTGCCAGGTTTGTCGCGGAGCATTGTGCTGTTGTAATGAAAATGTTCCAATGTATAAACATGAAATGAATATTTAGGAACCTGAAAAAATGATTCAATGTCAATGGACATTATCCTTCATATATTCTATTCTAAAAGCTCTAATTTAATCCCAGATCCAGACTTAAAGATTCACTGCGCCAAGTATAAAAAACATAATAAATTAACTAACATTGATAAAATAAAAAATTTGCATTTATTACATTATATCATTCAGGCCTGCACAGCATTGCAACCTCGATCAGTGAACTGCGGGTGCAATGTACAGGCTCTTGCGTGGGTTACCCCCAGCCCCTGGTCTGGATGGACGTATTGACCTTTTGTTATGGGGCTGGAGGAAGTTCTGAATGGACTACAACTGCGGTGACGTTACTGCCCTGCTGCCGGTGGAACCTGTTGAGTCCCTCTACCGCGGTAGTATTTTCATCCATTGATCCCCATGAATGGATGACACAGATGTGTGGGTGGAACCACGCACAGCCGCTCCAAAATAACCCCAGTAGAATGCTGTTGGAAGATGCACCTCACGATTTAGTTAAGGGCGGTTAGGGTTAGGGGAACGTGATCATGCTTTATGTAACCTCCTAAATATAGGTGGAACAGGCAGGGCTGTCCCTATAATAAAGCAGTCTGCAGTGGTCACCTCAGGCGCCATCTCATTAGGGGTGAGGATGAGGGGTGGCCACAGTGTCCCAGGTTGCTAAGAGCTCATGGTAACATATGGCGCTCTTTCAGCTATGTTTGGCTTCCCACGCAGCTCAAATATGTCATTGGTTTCCAGGGAGCGGAGCGGGATGCTATGGCTGGCATCTTGCCGAGTTCCTGGCAACAAGTGATGTCAGTGAGCTGGGCGGGACCAGACAGAGAGCCACTGAGAGGCATGGCTCTCTGTCTGGTCCCACAGCCGCCCATCCCACTGCATCCAATGTCGACCTGCAGGAACCCTGTCCCCCTGAAAGCTCTATTATTAGCAACCGTCCCTTTCACCGCTCTATAGCCTCAGGTGGCATACAAGGTAGGGATGGCCATGGTAACATGAAACAAGTCTAAAAGGTAGACCAAGCCTTTAATTCATGATTTATTGCCTCCCTGGGCCCTCATTGACAAACAAAAAAGGAATGATGCCTGGAATAGTTGCCTTCAGTCTGCTGCCCCCACAGTAGCACTTCTTCACCCCAAGAAGGGCTCAGTCTTCCAAGCTGAAAGATGGCCAGTGTCACTCAACCCAGAAGACTAAGGAAAGAGTGTGAGTGCAGGATTTGATGGCCCCGCCCCCTGAGCACAGAGCTGTGCACTCAGAGCGTATTGGTGCAGGGATGCTCTCTGCATCAAGGACCGTTTATCGCTGGAACTAGGCCTAAGACTAACAGGACCCATCATGTGACCAGCCAGAACACATCAGAAAAGGGTATACAGGTCTGCATTACTTACCAGACGACATTTGCTCCACTGACTCCACTCTGACATGACGCAATCCTCGGGACAAGGCAGCTTGCAGTTTCTGGCTCCAAGCGGCATCTCCTCTGGCTCACACAGGTAGTCTTCCACCACATCAGCTGGGCCATCCACCGTGTTCTGCATGCATCTGATGGCCGAGCAATAAAAACACAAATATAGAGAGAGATTAAACTCTAAGCGGAACTCTAGAGAAAGATCAAGCTGATGATTTTAAAAGCTAATTTCAGAAGTATGTTTTCTGAGTCCTTTCTCGGTGGGTTTCTCCTGCCTCTCTATCAGCCTAGGGTTCCTCCACAGCTTGCTAGCAGTTTCTTGAGCAATTTCTGCCTCTTAGATAAGCTACCAATGATCTTTTCAGACATATGGTAGGGGAGCATTCTTCCCACTGACCCCGAATGTAAGGAGCATTCTTCACACTGACTAACAATGTAAGCAGCATTTTTCCCACTGACCAGCAATGTAAGGAGCATTCTTCCCACTGACCCCCAATGTAAGAAGCATTCTTCCCACTGACCCCCAATGTAAGAAGCATTCTTCCCACTGACCGCCAATGTAAGGGACATTCTTCCCACTGACTAACAATGTAAGGAGCATTCTTCCCACTGACCCCCAATGTAAGGGACATTCTTCCCAATGACCACCAATGTAAGCAGCATTCTTTCCACTCTCCACCAATGTAAGGAGCATTCTTCCTACTGACCCCCAATGTAAGGAGCATTCTTCCCACTGACTACCAATCTAAGGGACATTTTTTCTAATGACCACTAATATAAGGAGCATTCTTTCTAATGATCACCATTGGAAGGGGTCACTTTTCCACTGAATAAGGAAAGGGAACTCCTGGACATGCTAAGGGGATCCTGGACGTGCTGAGGGGATCCCCCCACCCCAGATTGTGGGTTGAGGCTCACGGTAGAGTCAGAAGTCTCATAGTGTGAGCAGGGTTTAACAGTGGCAACTATCTTGAAAGAGGATCCAGGAAACCCAGGTAACAGAAAATTGTGCGTATCTGTCATACAATTGAACTGTAAGTTCTTCCACAGGCATCATAAGACTATGTTCATTTATCCATTCTCTCATGGTTGGGTTTTTCATGCTCTTCCAGTGTCTGAGAAGCAGCAACCCATTTTAACACTTGCATTCATTACTTGTCTTTCGTTATGTAATTTCAGTTTTAAAACAAATGGGAATAACTCATCTCCTTATTAGATTCTGGAACTCTGTTTAAAAAATATGGTGGTACAAGAAAAATATGCGCGATTTGATGCAGTTCCTTATGTGTCCAGCAGATGGCAGTACTGGAATGCTCTATTAACTACGGAGGTCTATGGGAAAAAATCACTGATTATAATTTGATATAAAAATAATTCTGTGATTTATAATGGCATGGGGGGGTTTTCAAATAGGAAAAATGTTGATGGGTTGCATCATTACATAGCTTTTTACTGTCCCTGATCTTTTGGAACCCCCTGTCCCTCTTTCTTCCTCAGTTGTCCTTTTTTTAAATCTGATTTATAGGCCCATATGTAAAAAATGTATTATATATATTGATATTTAAGTATAAAAATTGTTTTTCTGCACTTAATATTGGTAAGGCATGAGTGAGTCCTTTGCCTACATACTTTGTGCTACAAGGTGTTCCTCTTGACTATCACAGAAAGTTGAGAGGTATGTAATCATTAGTTAGTATTAGAAGTTAGAAGTTAGTATTGTGTTGCTAATCTAGAAAAACTAACAAATAAGTTTGGTCTTTTATTTCTAATAAGAGATCCCACTTCGGTTTTTATTGCTGCCTAAATCCTCTTTCGGGAGCTTTTCCCTCACTTCCTGTTCTAGCAATTGATGTCACCTGGCACAGGAAGTGAGGGGAAGTGAAGAAATGTTTGTGGTTTAGTAGCATAGCGTGACCCCTATGTTGACATATTCTTTCACTTCCTGTCCCAGTTAATTCGGGTATATGTCTACTTTAATGTTAGTAGTATAGAGCACACTCCTGTGAAGAACTCCAAACACAATAAAATCATCCGTGAGCTGTAAAAATGTATTGCACAATGTATAAAGCTGTGGCTGTATGTGAATGGAGCAAATTGTATGGTTGAAAGAATCTTAGTAGTGGCGGAACTATCGCCATATCGACCCAGGCGGCCGTTATGGGGCCCAGGGCACAGGGGGGGCCCAGCCAGGACGAGGAACAAAGGTGTCCCCCTGATGGGCCGCCTGGGTCGCTATGGCATTGCAGGCTGCTGGCTGTAACTGGGGGCTGTCAGGAGGAACGCTCAGCTGTCCAGATCACTGACAACCTGTTCCTCCTCACAGCGGCTGCTGAGTCAGTGACAGCCAGCAGATGGGGCTCTGCAAGGGGCGTAACTAGACAGGGCCCCATGGCACAACATTTTGCCATGGAGCCCAGTGATTTCTAGTTAGGCTCCTGGTTCTTTAAGACTTTTTTCACTTCTGGTTGCATGTTCTTAGGCTATTGTTTCAGGCTATTTTCTAATTTTCTGAATAGGAGTGGGAGAACACATGCCAACCAAGCGTACAACCAAACCTGCCTGCATTCACCGAAACAGCCATTGTTTTTTTGGTGGAGTGATCCAACACACCTACCTGACTTTTTTCGTCTGTACACCTTCTCCACAATTCTGTTTTAGGTCAACATTGGTGACTTTGCATATACTCCAGGGTTCAGCGATCCACACGTATTGGTTGCAGTCACTGTGACATGGCACCACTTCATACACCTGCAGAGCACAGCACAGAATAATGTATCGCTGTACAGTGAAATGGCATAGATAATTTATGGTAAAAATTTTTTATTTATGGTAAAAAAAAAAAAAAAAATTAAAAATATTTGTTTTGGCAGGTAAATTTGAAATATTATTTATTAATAATATACAGTATTCTATCCAGCCAGCAGGGGGAGCTGTATCCTCCTTTTCAAATGTGAAGCATTCAAGTACCTTAACTATTAACAAAAATGTATCTTATTTGTGTATCACTCGGCTGCAGATCCTCCAATACTCTCTGAATTGTTGCTGACACTGTCCTTCCTTCTGGAGGGTGGCTACTTTTGTTCCCCATGGTCCCTGTGTGTGTTGTAAAGTAGTCACCGCTCCAAGCTCACTTCGGGGATGGACTACAATCTCAATACAATCTCAATACAAATGATTAAAGTTAAACATGAGATTGTAGAGATTGTAGTCAATCCCGGGATTGTAGTCAATCCCGGGAGCGAGCTTGGAGCGGTGACTACTTTACAACACACACAGGGACAATGGGGAACAAAAGTAGCCCCCCTCCAGAAGGAAGAACAGAGTCAGCACCAATTCAGAGTTGATTTGAGGATCTACAGCCGATTGATACACAAATAAGATACATTCTTGTTAATAGTTAAAGGAGAACTATGAGGTGGGTGAAAATCACTCAGCCTCATAGTTCTAGCCGACCTGTGACAATGAGACTGTCACAGGTCGGCTCAGTAGATCGGGAAGTGAGCGAACACATACCGTCGCTCGCTCACTTTTCGATCTGACTGTCACTCACGGCTTCCTGCAGGGATTCCCCCGCCTCCCCGCTCCGATCCTCCAGCGCTGACTGGCGGAAAGGACGGGGGAGGGGGCGGGTACAGCTGGCTCTTCCTCTAGATAGGTAGAGCCAGCTGTCAATCCCGCAGCTGGGTGGATCCAGACAGTATTTTCGGGATCCGTCCCGGCTGCAGCGTCTCAGCATGCCGCGAGCTGTAGCCCGCGGTATAATGAGCTTTGGGTGATGGGATGACGCTAGTTTGTGTCCTCCCGTTACCCTTAGGAGACCTATGGGGAAAAGCCCTAACCCCATAGTTCTCCTTTAAGATTTAATTCCTGAGTTAAGTGTCACTTTAATTGTAATTAGTTTTAAACATTAGAATAAATAAAGAGAATGAATAAAATACAATAATAATGATGCAGTTGGTCTTACCTGAGCCTGTGGCACATATGAAATCCAAAGGCAGCACATAACGAATAAGAGAGGAGAGAAAATGCATTGTTTAGAATGGACATAAAAAGGAAAAAATGAAAAACAAATAGATAGAGGTAATTCCACAAAATAGGGTGACAACTCAAGCGCGCAAATGGTCAGCGTGAAGCAGAAAATGTCTGAACACGGACCTCCATGGCAGGATCAACAGATATTCTTTCAATAAAAGCTGCAGATTTAAAAAGACTCAAAACTATTTTTGAAACAACAATAACATGTTACAGCTAATATGAGACTTTAGAGATCCGGTGTACATCCACTTGAATATTTCCAGAACAGATGCAGGTGAGGAGCTGCAATCAAGTTTGCTAAGATCCTTGCAGCGTGAAGAGCTGACCCGGAGGGTTTCTTTTTTTTTTCTTCTCTACTTTTTTCAAAAGTAGAATTTCACTTATAACTGTGTATAATAAAAAGAATACAAGAAAGGAAAAGAGGGGAGATGTGTAATTTTGGAAGGTATTAGGCTCAGGCTCGGCGTTGCTGCAAGATGTTTCATAAGCAATTGTGAAACCTAATTAGCTAAAACCAGTTCATGGAGACCAGCCAAGGAAGAATAAGCCTGCGGCCAGACGTCAAATGACATTCAGGTGTAATAAGCTCACCGTCAGAACTGCAAAATGGCCTTCCGTTAATTGGAAAAGTTTACAGACGGTGTTAAAAAGCAGATTAAAAGAAATGCAGGAAAACAGCTCAGATGGAGAGGAAATATAAATGGCCCGAGAATGAATATGCAAAACTACGGGAAGAGAGAAGGTTTGTTTTCCTCGCTGGAAGAAACAAAGTTGGATTCTGTTTCTTCTTTTTATATATCATAGTATATTATTTTTCACAATGACTCCGATTCACCAAGCTAACCCAAGCAAGAACCGCGCCGTAATGTGTGCTGACCAAGGACAATCTAAAACTTAAAGTGACATTAAAGTATACATGTTTCCCCCTCCCCCAATGTTAGTGTCAGCACTTACCTTAAAAGAGAACTATGGGGTCAGGGCTTTTCCCCATAGTTCTCCTATCCTGACGTTTTCAGCCTTCCCTCCAGCGCTGCTGCGTGTCTCCGATCCAGCGCTGACTCCTCTGTGCTTGCTGGCACTTCCTGTCCCATGGAGTCTGTGCAGGTGCACGCTATCCATAGACTTACCTTGTGACTCTCCTCATCTCCGGGCCGAACATCTGAACTGCGCATGCGCCTGCCCCAAGATCCTTTGCGACCGCCCGAGATTTTTCAGATTTGTAGACAGAAGCGTGCGGGGAAGACACAGGTAAGTATTAAACTCTTTTTAAAAAAAAGTTTTTGCATATATCTACTGCTTGCTAGCCGTAGATATATACAAAACAACCTGACGGTTTAATAACCCTTTAAAAGGAGAACTATGAGGTGAGTGCTTTTCACAGGTCGGCTCAGTAGAGCGAGAAGTGAGCGAACAGATACCGGCGTTCGCTCACCTCTCGATCCTGTCACGGCTCTCTGCCGTGACAGGAGAGAGGCTGGATTCCCCCCTCCCCGCTCCGATCCGCCAGCGCTGACTGGCGGATCGGACGGGGGAGGGGGCGGGTACAGCTGGCTCTGCCTCTAGATAGGCAGAGCCAGCTGTCACTCACGCAGCTGGGCGGATCCAGACATAATTGTCGGGATCCGCTTCAGCTGCGGCATCTCAGTATACCGCAAGCTTACAACTCAACATCTGAACAATGTAACATCATCATTGCTTGCTGGAAACAATGCATGATGGGACCTCCCTTTTAGATTGTAAGCCCTCACGGGCAGGGCCCTCCTTACCATCTTGTCTTGAATTGTATTGTGACTGTAATGTCTTCCTTATATTGTAAAGCGCTGCGCAAACTGTTGGCGCTATATAAATCCTGTATAATAATAATAATATGTAGTCTTGCGAAATGGAGATTGCATCACATCATGTAGCTCGGAAAGAGACACAAAGCACACTGGGAATCCAAGAAGTTGTTGGAAATGATGGACAGACAGAAGGCAGCGCTCACTACATAAAAGGGATTTTTTCAAGCAAGGTTTTTTTTTTTCAAGCAAGCTTTGATTGTATTATCCAGAACTCCAGTATGTATTCCTATTACAATGCTGATGTTATAACAGGAGAGGATACGCTGGGACTTTACAGCTCCTTTAACCCTTTCACTGCCAAAGCGTTTTTTGCACACATCTTATAATCCACACTTACAAGCCTCCTATGTAATAGTACATCGGAGGTGACAGGTGCTCTTTAAGGTTACATTAGGGGTCTTTTAGAGCTGAATCAGTTTTATTGAAATTGGTATATAATAGTAACAGTACTATACAAAAGCATAAAGCAATGGTCCATAAAAAACAATCAGAAGTAAATACAGCGGATAATATGGCGGTAGATAGACAGTGCGCATAAAAGCAGACCCCATAAAATCAAAATAAGAGAATAAGAATAAAAAAGGTACATCGCATTTATGAGCCTTAATGGGGCACCAAATGTACTTCAAGGAGGATGGAAAGCAATAAAGGATCAACCAGTACATTAAACCTCTATTAGACCCCTAGTGTCACCTTTCCCCTCCAAAGAAGCTATTGGATTGCAGATTGTGCTCCCCGGCTTCTGCAGCTTCATACAATCAGCATCACTTCCAGCCCCATTCAGCATGGAGGAGACTGGCGAATGGATGTTCGCCGTTATCCTTTCCCGCCGGCACCCGTGATAAAGCAAGACGGGGATGTCGGGGAGGGTGAGGGGTGCACTACACTGACCCATGGAAGCAATCTGGTGGCAACTCAGCCACCAGAATCGCTTCCTATGTAAAGCTGACAGTCGGCTTTACACATGTAAACAGAGTCCCCACTGTTCAAAGGGGTCCACTGCCAGCAAGAATGCCATACGTCGTTGGCAGCAAAAGGGTTAAAGTGGACCTATCATGACAGATATTTTCATTTTAAGTGTCAAAATGACCCTGAACCCAAAGGCCAATATTTGCTATGTCATAGGGAACATTAAAAAATGCCCAAGTAGTACTCTGAAAAAATCTGCCTTCGGTCTGAAAAATTGCAAAGCACTTCCTGGCATGTGAGGTGCTAAGGCTTTCCTGTGCCTACAGCCTCACAGCTGTACATCTGCAATGTGAGATCTAAGGCACTGCTGCCTCTGACTGCTGGTCTCAGGAGATTTTGGAGGCGTCAGTACTTTCTTAAACTCAGTTCTCCCTGCTGGAGGCTCGGATATGAGGAGACAACACTCTGCCTCTACCAAAATGGCTGCCAACACACAGAGACGTATTGCAGAACAAGGCATGCTAAGTCAGTAATAGGGAAAGATCAAGGCTGGTGTGATGCACAGCGTGGTGCAATGTAGAAAAACGGACTGGAGCTCGCCTGATGTAAGTGCTGTTCACTGCACCAGAGCAAACGGGACTTAGACCCAGCGACAAAAAAGATACACTAGTAAGAAAAAAGAGTTTCTTTTAATTTTATTTTGTTTTCCAGCACAGTGACCATTCCACGGAAAGGATCCTGCATTACTTCAGTCATCCTCCAGGGGGCAGTCGTGTCGCAGATTAATCATCCTTCCCAGCAGACCCTCCACCGGACTCAGATGGCAGCAAATATGATAGTAAAAGCGTCTTCAATTACCAGTTAGTCATTTTGACCAATTGCTTCCAACGTATTGCAATAAAGCAGAGCGCTTCACAGAACAGAAGGTGACACTTCCAAGATAATGGCCAGGCAGCCCCGGGGCTGGTTCACGGTTTTCCCGGAATAAGCGGAGTGATTATGTCTGCACTCTGCTGTATGCTAATCAATAAAAATAATAATATGAAGCCTCTCTAGAGGGAGGGGAGCCCCAGAAGTGGGACTGCCAGAACCTCGCCCTCAATGACTGCATGTAGGAAAAGGTTATACTTATTAAATGGATACAATTGCTGATATGGCGTTATCGCACCGTTAAATTACGGATGTGCTCGGAATGTGGTCTACTGCGGTCACACCATGGCGTTGCAACGTCTGGCTATGCTTCACTAAGCAACTGCTACAGGAGGATCAAAGGATGAACTCCAGGAAGACTCAGGCCTGGTTCACGCCTGGGCGTTTTACAGAGCTGATCGACGCGCTGTAAAACGCTCAGCATGTGAAAACCAATAATTGCCTATGGGCATGGTTCCCACCTGGGCGTATTTCAGCGCATAGGAACGCGCTTAAAAAACGCCCTACGCCCAAAGAAGTACAGGCTTCTTTGGGGCGTATTTTCCACGCGTATACACTAGGATACAGCCGGATAGCCCTCGTAAACGCGCATTTCTTTTAAAGCAAATCGCGGTAAAAACGTGTGGCACGAAACGTGCGGCAAACGCGCATATTCCGTACGCCCAGGTGTGAACCCAGCCTTAAAGGGTAAGTCCACTTTTCAGGGCCACGACTTCTTCTTCTTCTTCAGGGCCTTATGCCTAAGCTTTCTTTGGTGCCTTATCCTGTTGTATGCTTACAGCAAGACACAATTATGCATTAAATTATGAATTACCCTCCAATCTGGACCCCTCTCCCTCCCCCTATACTTATTTTTCGGCGAACGCACCTTCGCCTGCGCCGGTACGGGTGTACTATCCATAACCTACAATACCAGGTAGCACAGCCCTGCGTTCATCAGATCATGTGATGAAGGGGGTGTGACCCCGGAAACGCATCATCATCACAGCCTTTCTTGCTGGCACATAGACATGACTGTGCAGCTATCACTGGCTTCTTCCTTGGTCCATGCATTTACTTATTAAGCTGTAATTATGTCGACCCTTGTGAGTATGCTTCACATTCACTAATTGCTTTTAATCTAAATAAATTTGTCTGCACCAGGAAAGGCGCCCCTTGTTTGAGTTTTTCCCCCAGATTTTGCAGTCCCCCCTGGCTGGTTTGGGGCAGCGTCCTGCAGACTTTCCATTACTTGCTTCATTTGTAAAACAGACTTTGCATTTCATTGCATACTTCATATCCTGGTGGAGCAGTCTCATTTGGCGCTTTTTGTTCATATTTGAAATAAATACAGGTGACACGGTGTAGCTGTGTAGCTAGTTGCAAAGTGTGTCTTAGAAACAACAAAAAGCTTTTATCTGTGAGATTGCGGGACGGGAGGTCAGCTTGTTACAAAATGCCACCCTGTGATTTACCGCCCTCCGGTAGCGTGTTATCATCTCCTCCAAGTTCAGAAGCAGCACAAAAATTGCAGGTGATATTCTAAATTGAGAGGTTGTTGGCTTTTACCAAGCTATCAGCCACCAACCTAACGGCTCTGAGATTCAATGAAGGTGGCATACGTGACATGAGCTTCGTGAATGGAATCAAACCAGAACCTCTAAAATATTACACTGGAATCTTAAAGGGATCCTGTCCCCAGACGATTCGACTCAACAAAAACTTCCTATAAGATTACATGTACATTTTTTATATTTTATGCATGGTATTTATCTGTAAAAACCTCCATTGTGTAGACATCCAAAAGCCCTGAGACTGCTGCTGTGTGCCGCCATCTTGGCTTGGATGTGATTTAAGCAGCCCTAGTAGACTCAGAGCTCTCAGAGTTGTTTTAAAAAGATAGACGACATCGACCTGCATTCCACTACATTGATAAGCTTAAGACCTCCTGCAAGATCTTGATCAATTATCATGGCTGGAGTTGGCCACTCAAAACTGATATGTCTCCTATGAGACATCTCTGCACTCATGTCCCCAGAGCTATGAGAGAGATAGAGGGGACAAAGCAAGATGTTATGGCAGGGAGATGGTGGGGACAAAGCTCTGAGCTATGGCAAGGAGATGGTGACGTCAAAGCTCTGAGCTTTTGCATGGAGATGGCAGGGATAAAGCTGGAAGCTATGGCAGGAATAAGGTGGGGATAATGCCCAGAGCTATGTCAGGGAGATAATGGGCACAAAGCTGGACACTATGACAGAGAGATGGTGCGGACAAAGCTGGACACTTTGGCAGGGAGAAATTAGGGATGAAGCTGAGAGCTATGGCAGGGAGATGGTGAGGACAAGGCTGAGAGCTATGGCAGGAAGATGGTGAGGACAAGGCTGAGAGCTATGGCAGGGAGATCTCACTTCTGGAGACAAAAGGAGTCAAGAGGTGACTTAACCCAACAAACTCCACCCAACACAGTTGGTGGGGAAAAAGCCAGAAGCTAAGGCAAGTAGATGGTGGGGTAAAAGCCAGATGCTATGGCAAGGAGATGGTGGGGACAAAGCTGGGAGCTATGGCAGGAAGATGGTGGAGACAAAGCCCAGAGCTATGGGAGGGAGATGGTGGGGACAAAACTGGACGCTTTGGCAGGGAGAAATTGGGGATAAAGCTGGGAGCTATGGCAGAGAGATGGTGAGGACAAGGCTGAGAGCCATGGCAGGCAGATGGTGAGGACAAAGCTGGGAGCTATGGCAGGGAGATGGTGAGGACAAGGTTGAGAGCTATGGCAGCAAGATGGTGAGGACAAAGCTGAGAGCTATGGCAGGAAGATGGCGAGGACAAGGCTGAGAGCTATGGCAGGGAGATCTCACTTCTGGAGACAAAAGGAGTCAAGAGGTGACTTAACCCAACAAACACAGTTGTATGGATGGACTCCTTATTCCTTGGCACTAGGTATCACACAGACCTGAACATACAAAGATATTTATCTGAAATACATTTACTGTACCTGATTGGTATGGTCGAGCTTTGGGCACGGCCTTCCCCCATTGTAAGGCTTCTCCCGAAGCCACTTGGACCGGACTTTGACCCCGCTTCCACAGGACTTGCTGCATCTGGACCAGTTGGACCATTCGCTGAGTTTACAGTCGGAGGGACACGGTATAATGCACGCTTCTTCTATGTAACCTAATTGGGTGGAAAAAACAATAAACATTTATGTACTTTTATCTTTATGTTTGATATACTTCCTTACCTCTCCGCTCCTCTGTGCTGCTCAGCTGGGGTCATACTTTATCACTTTGTTTATACAATACTACAGTGCTATGGGAGTTTTTCTTATTAATGGAATTCCAAACCAGTGTCCTGGTACCCAGTCAGTGACTCAAGCATATTAATAGGAGCATTGACATGAGTGAATGAAAGGGGTGAGCCAGGGACAGTAAGGCTGGGAAGGAAAGTCTTAGATGATGTTGAAAGTCCTCCAGCCAGGAAATGAGGAAGGCTCTATGTGACTTGCTGCAGCTTCTAATGCACATTGGGAGAAGCTCACAGTGAAATCAGCATAAGCTATTTTTTGTCCATGAGAGGAGCCGGCACAACTGTGCAAGACTGAAAGAAAGGCCGGAGTTCAGCTTTAAAATGTATCCCCCACCATCACTGCTACACCATTTTAGAATATGGGGAATGTAACAGAAACAGCTGGGATGCACATAGGTGACCTGAAACACCCAAACCTCCCATGTTGACAGGAAAAGAGCTTGGAATTATGCAGGGAGATCCCACTGTTGGAGCATCCATGTGATATGATGATATCATATAACTAAAACATTATTTGTTTGTGTGGAATTACCCTTTAAAACTGAACTCCATTCATAAAAACATTCATTGAAATGTATTCCTCAATAGCCAATTTGTGTGCACCAAACCCATATACTCCCTCATAAAATAGCAGTGACATCATCACTGAGCAGAGCTGTAGAAGGGGCCCAACAGGCTCCACCCTCCACAGGCTGCCTGTAGAAAACTACTGGAGGGGTGGAGACGAGACCAGTCACCCTGCACAAGAAGAGAGAGCAGCAGTGACCTAGCTTTATTATAGAAGGGGGCGGAGACAAGACCAGTCACCCTGCACAAGAAGAGAGAGCAGAGGTGACCAGTCTTTATTACAGGAGGGGGCGGAGACAAGACCAGTCACCCTGCACAAGGAGAGAGAGAGCTGCAGTGACTGCTCTCTATTTTAGCAGGGGGCGGAGACTAGCCTATGTTTTGCCTAAGGAAGGAACCATGCCGTTCCGAAACGTCGTCTGTGATTATGTGACACTTTGTAGTCAATAAATATTGACTTGTATGTATGCTGGAGTGCTAGTGACTTATCTTTAGCCAAAGACAAGACCAGTTACCCTGCACAAGGAGCAAGAGCAGCAGTGACTAGTCTTTATTACAGGAGGGGGCGGAGACAAGACCAGTCACCCTGCACAAGAAGAGAGAGCAGCAGTGACCGGTATGCATTACAGGAAGTAAAGTGTCACACTGGATTACTGCACAGATCTGGAATAGAGACACAAAGCTCACCAAGATTCAAGAAGAATACGTGACTCTTGTATGAGGACAATATTTCTCTGAGCTCAGCTTTAAGAAGGAAGAAAGTGATAGAAAAATGACATTAAATAGTGATAATGTTCTTTAAAGCCACAGCACTCCATCCTACTTCCATTCTATAAGGCCCGGACTATATCTACAATATCACATTTCAGGCTTCTCATTTCAGCGGCATTTGAATAAAGAAAAAATAATATCGGATTCCATCGAAGATGTTAATATTTCGCTATCTGCCCGGAATAGCGGGCATTATTCCGACAAGCCGCCTCCTTCATCCGTCTTCTACGTTTCATCCAGACACAAACGGCTTTTCTTTTTTTTTTTCACGGCAGTAATGTATGAAATTGGCAGAAAAGTAATATATCAAAACGGAAATCAGAGAGCGCTATCTCCCCATGTAATCCAATAAAACATTTTATTACTTGTTTCAAACATTAAATTATACGGGGAGCATGCATAATTAATTGGAAGCGCATCTTGCCTTATCTCCTTATGTAGGGCAGCGCCGCTCGGCTTACTTGAAGTTAATCAGCAGTATAAATCATTACAGAAAATTAATTTCTGGATTTGCGGGTTCAACTCAGGCTGAGCTGCTGCCGCTCTTTACGTGCTAATTTATAGAGGTTTACAATATTATTAGCCGGGAAGGTGGAATATTAAATGGCTGTTTGTGGCCGCGTAATTTTCTTTTCCCTATGACTGCACAGCCAAATTCTACCGGTAAATAATTCTCCGGATGATGATGGATATGTAGATGTAATGGAGGGCGGGGCTTCATTAAGAGCAAAACACAAATGCAAAAATATACTTAATATAGACAAAAAAATAAACTCGGGTGTGTGCTGATTCGAGTGGAACGTCAGGTAATAAAAGAAAGATGCTGTAGCCTAATAATCGGTTCATCAAAACAATCATTAAAGGCTCGGAACACCCAAAACAAATATGTATCAGTTTTTAGTAGATACGGCGGGCTTTTGCTCACATCAGATGGGTTTTGTGTTACCATACAAGACTACGGCAATGCAAAACCCATTTGAAGCAAGTGAGAAGGAGGTCAACTGCAGGTCAGAAGTAGGTCAATTGCACGTCAAATGCAAGTGAGAAGGAGGTCAAATGCAGGTCAGTAGATACGACAGACTTTTGTTCACATCGCATGGGTTTTATATTACCATAAAAGACTATGGAAATGCAAAAACCATTTAAAGCAGGTCAAATGCAGGAGAAAAGGAGGTCAACTGCAGGTCAAATGCAAGTGAGAAGGAGGTCAAATGCAGGTCACTAGATACGACAGGCTTTTGTTCACATCAGATGGGTTTTGTATTACCATACAAGACTATGGAAATGAAAAACTCTTTTGAAGTAGGCCAAATGCAGGAGAAAAGGAAGTCAACTGCAGGTCAAATGCAAGTGAGGAGGGCCACTGCAGGTCAAATGCAGGTCAGAAGTAGGTCAACTGCAAGGCAAATGCAAGTTAGAAGGAGGTCAAATGCAGGTCAGATGGAGGTCAACGGCATATCAAATGCAAGTGAGGTCAAATGCACCTGTCAATTAATTCTGGATTATCTCCGGCCTCAATCTGATACCATTGGCACAGGTCCAAAGCCCATCAACACAGAGCCTTAAAGTGATTATGTACTCCTGAAATTAGCAAAGTCTCTTTAAAGTCCCACAGTCCAAACTTAAGCCGCTGCAAAGTCTTAACAGGCTAATTCCACTGATCTGTGGGTGCTAGCTGGATAGAAGAGCTCACCTCTGTTCCCCACTAGGGATGAGCTCAGGTTCAGACCAAAGCCGGTCCAAACTTGAGCTCTTCTGGACATGGAAGAAGCTCCTCCAAACTCAGAAGAAACTCCTTCTGCTGAAGCCCAATCAGGTGTGGCCAGGGAATTCCCCACCTGCGGCTGTACGTAAGCAAAGGGCTGAATGCAGGGATATCATTAACTTCATATACTTACATGGCTATATTACGTAAATTACTTTTACCAGTGCCCATATAGGGTAAATGATGTCAGCACAAGTATCCCCTCCCTTTTTTTATGGGGAATGCCCCGACTCACAGCTGATTGGGTGGGAGGCCCATGTAGCTTCTGTGTTCAGAGGAGCTCAGGTTAGGTCCAAACACAAGCTCATCCCTAGTGCCCACGTACAATTCCTCCCTAGTGCCCACGTACAATAATGACATTAAGAAGAAGGTGCAGTCGCACAATATGTGTATTTAGCATTCACATGAAGCTTCTTTGATATAGATGGTTTGGACAAAACCCCATCAGGATCCTTCTGCTTTGACGTGCTTCACCCAACAAATTGGCCTTTTTGTAGGGAGGACTGGAGGGGTCCATCGTCATGAAATCTGTAGACCTGTGATAATCCGTTTATTAGATACAGGGGGCCTCAGCTGCAGCCTAAGATATCCTCAGATGGTGCATAATATTCAGTATATATAGATGACTGTCAGATACACATTACACGGGTGATTGGAGACAGAGTGTAGGAGACTAGGGACATGTTACATGAGACTGCTTAATATCAATGTCATTACAGCAACTTTACAAACCAATGCTACCTTTTCTGCTGTGGACTGTTCAGATGTTCAGGCTAGGGATGCACCGATACCGGTATTTCGGTACTGAGTACGAGTGCCGATATTTTTTTTCCGGTACTCGCCGATACTGAAAACCGATACCGGAAATCCCATTAAGGAAGCCAGGCGGCGTGTAAAGACTCACCATCCTGCTTCCCGATTAGCAAGGAACCCGTCCCCATGCTTCTCGTCGCTATGTGACAAGAACACATAGAGGCGGCTTGCTAGCCAATCAGGAAGCCGGGCACCATGTAATGACGCGCTGCCCGGCTTCCTGATACAGGAAGTATCGGGCTAGGCATCAGAGCATTTGGGCTAATATGAGTCCTCGCCCAAATACTCAGCATCGGCACCAATACCGATGCTAGTATCGGTATCGGTGCATCCCTTTTACAGGCCAACAGATATTTGGTTGAATTTACTGGGTTTAGGTACACATTAAAATGTAATTGCAGGGGCATGCTGGACTTCTGCAGAGGTACCACTGCTTACACTTTTTCTCTGCAGAATGCTGGCAGTGAACAAGCTTTCTTTAAGAAAATTTAAGACTTTGCACACCTTTTCCTTTGATGCTCCTGGAATGTATTCAGCTGATTTTAAACTGAAGGTTCTCTTTAGAGAAAGGTAATTCTAACACAAATCACACACAAACAAGCACACCCACCATGGCTGTTACACCGGGAAGTCTCCACCAGTCTGTTGTTCTGATCGTAGCAGGCCATTGCTTGGTAGCGATAGCCTTGTCCGCATTCCTTTATGTCTCCTTGCACTTTCATTCCCAGAAGAACCTCCACTTTTCCCTCTGGTAGAATGCAGTCCGACCAATTCCCCACCGGCTGAGAATTGTACTTATCACAGGGGCAGAATTGGGTCTCCATCAGCGGATACAGCTGGGGGTTCTTACACTTGTCTTTCTTCTTACTCTTTCCTGCATTGAAAAAAAATAATAAAAAAAGGTCCATCCACTCAAATCTAAAACTTTTTCTGATACTTTTACATAGATGGCAGCAGAACAGGGCATTCTGTTGGTGGAGACTGTGCACTTTTAATAGGGTGGAGTTCTCAACTCTGCATTAATCAAATGTATATTACAGAAAATATTTATAGCATACCCACAGATAATTCCCAAGAGATATAACAAACCAGTGGGCTATCCAACTTATCCCGATCTATAACTGTTAAAAGCGTGACACACCCTCATGGTCCTACTTGGCACCCTTGTTGCTACATGGCTCCTCCACCCTGACACCTTGCCTTGTCTTTGGGTTCTTCTATTACTGACGATAATGTCTGCTTTACAGACTATTCCTTATCTGCCGCCTGCCTCAACCTCGGACTGTTTTTGGATTATGCTTCACCTGCTGCCTGCCCTGAGGTCAGACTGCCTTTGCACTGTCTTTGAATTATGCTTCATCTGTGGCCTGCCTTGACCTCAAGCTGTTTCTGGATTACACTTCTTCTGCTGCCTTGACCTTGTTTTGTTTCTAGACTACGTCTATCGCCTACCGCCTGTCCTGACCTCCAGCCTCAGGACTTAATTGCATAATACTCATATCTGTGCTCCGGTCCATCATGATAGATACTCTTGAGGAACACAGACACTCTTGTCCTTTTCCTTCCCACAGTCCCTTGTGCCACCTGTCCAAAAACTATAGCATTGTTTCTTAAGCCCTGGGGGCAACCAAGCACTGGTAAGCCTGCTTGGCTATTGGAAATGGGGGCTGCTATAGTCAAAGCTACACTTGCCAGCTATATTTTCTGAACTCGGGTACTGAAGTGAGAGTTACAATAACATTTTGAACTGACTGACCCTTCATATGTTTCGCTGTTGTTGCTTTATAGTCAAACTCTGGGATCTGTGACTAGCTATCCTGATGACTTCTTGTGTGCGTCTTCTAGACTGTAGACTTCAGCATTTCATTTGTTTCAATAGCCTCCTTCCCACCTTCAAACCCCATAGCAGCTTCATTGGCAGTTATGCCTATATTCACGCCATCGGTTGTCTTTGTCCCTAATCGGGAGATGACCCCTCATGTACCGGGTTGGTTCCATCCTGTCCTCAGGAAATGCTTGCAATGTAAAATGTATTTTTTTTACGGGCAATTACCCACTAACAGCTGAATCTTGTTATGCACACATAACCATAACACAACTGAACTGGCCACAGCAGCTCTTTAGAATTAACACATTAGTAATAATGTTATAAAGTATATCTGTTGTGTGTAACAACATCCAGGCTGATTGGCATCACATTGGAGATAGCTGACTGGGTGACTATAAGAGGCTACCAGCAAATACTTACAGAGTTATATAACAATTTGACTGTATATAAATATTTGGATTAACACAAATTAACTTTAAAAGGCAAATTAATTGGCTCACTTAACTTCTCCTTTCCTCAGCAGCGTATATTATTATTATACAGGATTTATATAGTGCCAACAGTATGCGCAGCGCTTTACAATATAAGGAAGACATTACAATTACAATACAATTCAAGACAGGATGGTAAGGGGGGCCCTGCCCATGAGGGCTTACAATCTAAAAGGGAGGGGCAAGTGATACATGAGGAGGTAGCTGTGTGGGGATGAATTGTTTGAGAAAGTGATGGTTCAGTGGTTAGTTTGCGGTGGGATAGGCTTCCCTGAAGAGATGAGTCTTAATGGGATTGCCTAAAGGCAGAGTGGGAGATAGTCGGACAGGCTGGGGTAAAGAGTTCCATAGGATGGGAGACTCTAGTGAAGTCCTGGAGGTTCTTCCTCGCTCCTGTGCCACTCCATTCAGCCATAGAATGACCTTTTAAAGGGCTCCAAACCAATTTGCTGAAGCAACCACAAGGCAATGTACTCGGCCCCAAAACTACAGTGCTGTGCTAGTAATGAGGCAGCAGCACTATTACATGGGAGAGGGGGAGTGTGCCACATGTTCATCCATATCCAGCTGTACACAATACATTACTCACTTTAATTTGTCTACATTTTTTTGTGGACAGTTGGCAAATCTCCCAGCACTCAGATTAAATCAAGGTGAGGGAACATATACTTGGTGTAGATACAGGGGTTACCTGGCCATGCCTTTGATGTTCACTTTGCCTGATGAAGGGACCCTGTGAGGTCTTGAAACGTTGCTATGTATTGTGATATAATGACTGAACATCACTAAAGGCATTTTTTGAAGAAGACTTTTGGTGTGCTGGTGACTTCTTTGCTATGTGAACTTGGCACCCTCAGCATGTTACTACAGCACCCAACAAGAGAACACGGGGACTTATTTATCAGATGTGCATTGGATTATCTCTAAAACTCACCCCAGTCAAACCTCCAAGACATCAGCAGCATATCACTGAAGACTTCAGATAATTTCTTGGGATTTTTAATACCCCCTCCCCCCCCTCCGAGACACAGTAGAGTCTACTGAAAACAGAAGCTATTTACTTGTTTCACTTCCATCACAGATCCCCAAAAACAAGGGGTTTGTTCCTCATTTTAGGATAGTGGGCAGAGCCATGTAAATAATTCCTTTATGTCCCTCTGGCCAAATGTACATTAGGGACACAGCAGCAAAAAACAAAAGTTCAGGAGAAATTCTAAAAGGATTGTCTGAAGTTCAACTTTAAGGAGAGCACTGACCGTACTGTCAAGAAAACAAATTTTTATGATTATGAGCATACCTAGAAGTGCGCGTTTCCTGGTCCTAACGGCACCACAATCTCCATTACATGATGAGAACTTGGACCAGCTAGTAAATTGGCAGTCATCCTGGCACGGTATCTGGCAAGGCTGAGTTAGGACCGGGAGAGGACCAACATGCTTGAGGCACTCCGTGATTTCAGGCTGTGCACCATCTTGTCGGCGGCACGTTATAGCTGCAAGCAAAAAAAAACATAAAGAAATCAACTGACTTAATTTGTATTGGAGATGCAATAACATGCTGTCAGTTATAATAAACATCAACCAGGTAAACCAAGCATTGCTTCAGACACTATGAGGCATTTTTAGAGAGCAGAGGATCTAACATTCAGAAAACATTCTCTGCATGTGAATCTTCCGGGGCTATGTGTTTTAAATCACAGCCATTGATTCTCCACCACAGAATGTTTGGTGAAAGTCATATTCTCTGCTCTATAAATAGACCCCATCAGAGGGGTTAGGAGGGGCATATTTTAATATTTGTCAACTTTGTTCACTCTATGGCCTTCTTCATTCATCTGCATTTTTGGCACAGTTAAATGCCCGTTAATCTCCATACAAAATATGCAATGAGATTTGTGTCATAACAGCCAAAAGGAGTGACCAGTGTCATAGTTTGAAGCCCATCTCCAGGGAAACCAAAAAACTAAGCTTCCAGTGGTACCACCCCTGAATTCCAAAGGTTAAGTGCAGAGGTGTATCTACAACAAAATGGGCCCCTGGCGACGTCACTGGTTGCAAGGAGCTGGGCAGGACACCAGCTAGAGTGTCCCAGGTTGCTAAGAGCTGGGCGGGGAGATGTGTAAGAGCCATTTTTTTAAACCACTGTTTGCTGCAGCAAGGGTTGAAATACCCCTTGCTAGCCGCACCCTAGAGAGCCAGACCTCTGCTCAACACAGAGAGCAATGGTCAAGGTCTTCAGTGCTCCAATCAACAGGGCGCACACTGCCAAAGCAGCTCTGTTGATTGGAGCACTGGGTCAGGGGGGGTGTTGGACCGCTGAACACCTGGACCATTGCATTCTGTCCTATAACCATTTTATAGATCGGTTTAGGACTGCCTATCCAGTAGAATTTTTGAGTTTGAGAAGTTTCATTTTTGGATTGTTCATTTTGATCTTCTAATGGTGGTTATTGGGATAACCTTTTTTGACCACAGAGATGAGGAAAGTCGAAGGAGCAGGATGTAAAATTATACTAGATGAAAAAAAATCTATTTGATGTGTCTGGGATTCCTCTGGGCGAAATTTGGAAGAGCTTCTGAATGAAATTAGTAGACTTGATGGTGGAAAAATCGAATATTCTCGCAAACTATACCATATGAACATCCAAATGAAATTCTAAAAGTGTATGGCCAGCCTAACGTAGTGCTGATACTAATTATAAAATGGCTTATCTGTAAAAAAAAATAAGTCTTCAAAAAAGAATACAGCAAATCCAGTTGCCTTGACTTATTTTTTACAGATATACCATGACCTGGATGAATGAGAACATTCACAGACATATAAAATGTCTTGATTTGTCAATATTTGCCCATCAGCACCATGTGTAGGGGGATGAATCTTACAACTCCCACTTGATTAAAACCTATACAGAACTTGAAAACGCAGAATGGGAAGTTCAACTATATGCTGCATTGACCTGTTTATGGGGTGGGATTGGAAAGGACACCTCATGGCTGATTACAAAATAATCAAGAACACTAAAAAAAGTATCAAATTAGTTTTAGGCTATTGTCTTTGGTTGCTAGAACTCTATATTTAGTTATGAGAATCATTTTATAAGTACTGTAAAACACTTGGACTAACTACAGTGGAGAGGAGAAAGAAAAAAATTCCAGAGTTCCATTTCCAGTTCCTGGCGCAAAATAGAAGCCGTAGACACTTGGCAGCAACCAACGCTAGTCAATTAATCCTGTAATAGATATTCACACTGCCAAATAAAAAACAAAAACATGCTTCACGACGACGGCCTCAGCACATAACCAGTTCCGTCAAAACAGATTAAGTTGAATTGGCAGATGGTACGATTTCTAATTAATATCTTCATGTTTGTCAACATTTTAATAAACATTTACAAGCAGTAAGCCTTTTTGTTTCTCTGAATTATTCGCATCCTGTAAGTTGACACAAAATAAACATACTGTAATATAAAGTGTTATGTGGCTCTCCGTGGCTGGTGGGCACACTGCCAGCGCCCCTATTCACCATGTCCACATGCCCTTAGTCAGGGCCAGATTTACTCTCTCTGCTGCCCCAAGGCCAGGTTCCTCAATGTGCCCCCTACCCGCCAACCCTCCCCCCATGGAGAATGGCAGCCCTGCAGGCTGCATACAAGTGATCTCGTCGACATCACCGGGATCACTTGTACAAAACAAGAAAACAAGCGGCTCTACATTTAGCTCTGCTTGCCCAAAGCAGGGCTAAATGTAGAAAACAACTACCCGCCTGGCGCCCGGGACTGCATGTCCTGGGCATCAGGGGATAGGAATTCCACACCCCTGCTGCCCCTCTACTCCCTGCTGCCCCAAGGCCAGCCCTTGGTTGGACTGGCTTGGAAATCCGGCCCTGCCCTTAGTGAAGTGTCTGAAAACATGCACAAAGGAACTGTGCTAACGATGAACGGCAGACGGTGAATGTTTTACACTGTTAAGTGAAAGTGGGCATATCTTTAGATGTAAATGGTAAAAGGAAACCTTTAATGGAATTTCAATGCTGCCATGGCTGATGCCTACACCTGAGCATGCAGATAAGGACTTTGCTCACCTGCATGCTTTTTCTAGGTTTTAGTATTAAAACAAGAAGCTTAGCGTAAGGTCTGGTGTTGATGGGTTTTTGGTCATTTCAGAACTTCTATCCCCATGCAAGTCAATAAGAATGCAAAAGCAGCTTGAAGCAGGCTGATACAGCTTAGAAGCAGGTCAGGAGGAGGTCAACTGAAGGTCAAATGCAGCTGTCAATGAACGGTGAATGATGTCTGAGATGGCTTAATCTGATCTCAATTGCAAATGGAATGCAACTGCAAGCAATCTGCATTTGCCCATCATCACAAGCCCAAAGTTTGTTGACACAGTCCCTAGCAGTTAGACATCCAACACTTTCAGAAGGTCAGCAATGGCAGCCATGCTGCTTTTCATATGACAGGCAGTGTACTTTCAGTGATCACATGTTTATAAGTTATTTTTGCAGTTTTACCCTATAGTAATTTGTGATGCAACATGCTTGTTTCTCTGTATTTGAGTTACTGTATTGAATATAGAGATTTATTGATTAGCCACTAGAGGGAGATCTGTATAAAGCTGGCCATACACTTTACAACCATTGCAAGACTTTCGTCTTGCGATGGTTGTAAGGTAATTAAAAGCTCGTACGATCTGCCTATCTTGGACAGGCAGATCGTACTTGCGATCATCGCAAGCCCTCCCCGCTGAGGGGAGGGCTACCGATGATTCCAAAGCTAAGCAGGCAGTGTGCGCTTGCGCACACCGGCCCGTTCGGCATTTCTCTTCCGAAATCGTACGATTTTTGGCTGGTTTTCCAACGTGCTCGTAAGACAAAAGACGTGCGACCTTACACGTAGAAATGGTTGCACGCCTTCCATACACCTGCCGATTATCGGCAGGTGTATGGCCACCTTTAATCTCGGCCTCATTTAACCTCCATGCTTTACAGCTGTTGAGATAACATATCAGCCGCACAGGCAGTGCATTGTTTTCAACAAACTGGCTGATGCCAAGGCTGGCAGGGCTAATCACAAGGATGCAGAGTTTGGAGAAGGCAGGAGAAGGGAACAATCTAGGCCAACATAGCTGATTTGGAAAAATCCTCCAACTCAGCTCACTTTCCAGATCAGCTATGTTGTCCTAGATTGTTCACTTCTCCTGCCTTCTGCAATCTCTTCACCCTTTTGTGAATAGCCCCGTCAGCTTGTGACAAGTAGAGATGAGACTGGGCATGGTGCAAACCTAGATTAACTGCCACTCCATCCTTTTGACCCAATTGGTGGTGGCAGTTGCGGCGGGGATGTTCCCGGCCCCTTTGTGGCGCATAGCTGCTGGGACGAGGAATGCACCTATGTATTGTAAGGACTACGCTGCGTCCATGTTTGCGTATGATTATAAACTATACATAGAAACGATGGAGGGATCCAGTTTTGATAAATTCCCTGCATAGTATTTAGATGAAATCATTGATAAGAATTACACCCAGCTAATACTTTTACAATTTTTCGATTTTAAAAAAGACAAATATGTAACACATTCTGCCCAAAAACATTTCCAGTTTTATTTCCAGGATGGCGGAGAAATCAAATAATAATTTTCTCATCTTTATCAGGCATTACAGCAAGACCAGTCACTTAAATGAATTTACCTCTCGCCTGTAGTCCGGGTCCGCAGGTTTCGTACGCTCCGGGGCTGTCTTGTCTGACATACCAGGGCACCAGATGGCACCTCCGCCACTTATGAGTCTTCCACCTATGGCAAGACAAGTCGTAGACGGCTCAGTCAGTAAATCATGAACGCACCGGTGGCTTCAATATTTAAAGCAAATGATAATCTACTCTGCACAATTACACGGGCACTTTTTCATTTCGGTTGGCAGGACCGGCGGGGGGTCTTTTAATGAAATACCACCGCTCTGCCACCGCAACAGGCCATCTGGTGAACACACATGGACCCTTGTCATCCAGGCGTAGAAAATTAGTTTTTTCTGTCAAGGAAGGGGAGGAAAAAGGTTTCATGATGGCACTGATGGCTGAATAGGATTCTCAAAGACGTTTGGTTCAATTTATGAAATGTATAATTCATAAAAGTATTTGGAAAAAAAAATAAAATAATGGGCATTGGTGCCGACAGAGTCAGTCAAGATGAGAGAATCTTTGCAGATCTGCATTGACATTGACACACCAGCATCAATATCGCTGACTGCTAAAACCAATAAAAAGAAGGTAGATGTAGACCCAGTCACTATAATCTCATAGATGTTAAAGAAGAACTCTGGGAATTAAAAAAACCTAACCATTGCAGTGGGGCTACCCCATGCACTGTAAGGGTTAAGTGCTCATTAGTGTCTAGGAGCAAAATAAAAAAGTTATAATTATCTGAACCATGGAACCAGCTTGCTCTTAGACCAGTCCCTGGAGTCTCTCTCCCCCTGCGCTGCAGCAGTCCAAGGTCCTTGAGTCATCTGTATATAGAACGTGAGAACGCCAAGGGACATAGCATTGATGCAGCGGAGGAAGGGACCGGTGGCAGGGAGAGCTGTCACAGCTGGCCGACTCCAAAGATCGGGTGAGTATAAATTTTTTTGAGGGGAGTGTTATTAATGGGCTATTCCCTGTTAGTTTTCCTGATTGTGTGCCTTTGGGATAATTTCCCTGCCCTTCCTGTCCTTGAGCCACAACAGGAAGTGAGGGATTAGACAGCTGCCACTTCAACCGTTTCCCCATTTGAAGAGTTTTCCCTTTCTTCATGTTCTGGTGACAACGGTAACATGTTGGATTTCCCATCACTTATGTACCAGGATAAACAACAAAGGTTAATCTCCAGTGAGGACACTGAGAACAATTATATACCCCAAAGGGGGGTTCTAACCAAGGGTGTCTCTAAGTTTAGGGAAGGTGGGGGTAGTGGCAGCACGTTACGTGGGGTGGGGTGTGCTGGTGATTTACTGGGGGGGTAGGGTGGTTGTAGAGCATTATTTGTTCCCTACAGTGTCTCACCCAGCTCACTGATGTCACTGGTTGCCAGGAGCTGGGCAGCCTCCAAATGGTCACAGGAAAATTTTGTTTAGGTAAATTTAAAACAGTGAATATAAATATTTTACATTTACCACGTTCAGACAACTGCTTTGTACAAGCTCAAGAAATATAAAAATAACTAAGGAAATAAAAAATCAGGAGAGAACATATTACACAGAGTAATGTAAGATTCAGAGGAGGGGCTCCTTCCCTTCCTCTAAGTGATATGGAATTACCCGGTATTAAAAGAGTAGTCATAAAGTTTTATACAAACAATTAAAATAGATATAAAAATCAATTTATAACCTATTTTTTAAATAAAAAATAGGGTAATAAAAAAGCTGGAGAGATCATATTACATATTAGTAAGACTCAGAGGAGAGACTCCTTCCCACCCTTTAAGTGATATGGAATTACCTGTATTAAAAGCATATTTATAAAGTTTTATACAAACAATTAAAGTATATATAAACCTTCAATGTATAGACTTTTTTAATAAAAATAGTTAAAGGAGAACTATGGGGTCAGTGCTTTTCCCCATAGTTCTTCTAAGGGTCACGGGAGGACACAAACTAGCATCCTTCTGTGACCCAAAGCTCAGTATACAGCTCGCTACAGCTCGCGGTATAATGAGACCGCTGCAGCCGGGACGGGTCCCAACATTACTGTCGAGAGCCAGCCAGCTGCGTGAGTGACAGCTGGCTCTGCCTATCTAGAGGCAGAGCCAGCTGTACCCCACCACCTCCTCTGTCCGTTCTGCCAGTCAGCGCTGAAGGATCGGAGCAGGGAGGGGGGAATCCCTGGAGGGAGCCGTGAACACATTGTTATAGTTTCATTGTCACACGTCGGCTCGAACTATGAGGATGAGTGATTTTCACTCACCTCATAGTTCTCCTTTAAGGTAATAGAAAATCAGGAGAACACATTCCACGGACTAATGTAAGACTCGGAGGAGGGACTCCTTCCCTCCCTCTAAGTGATATGGAATTACCCGGTATTAAAAGTGTATTCAGAAAGTTTTATACAAACAAATAAAATAGATATTAAAAAAATCAATTTATAAACTTTGTATAAAAATAAAAATTTACCAAAAACCATCATAAGCAGCAAAGACCTGACAGTAAGTGTTCTATATTGTATTATTATGTATTACAGGTGAAACTCGAATAATTAGAATATCGTGCAAAGTTCATTTATTTCACTAATGCAACTTAAAAGGTGAAACTAATATATGAGAGAGACTCATTACATGCAAAGCAAGATAATTCAAGCCGTGATTTGTCATAATTGTGATGATTATGGCTTACAGCTCATGAAAACCCCAAGAACCCCAAATCCACAACCTCAAAAAAGTAGATTATTACATGCAATCAATAAAACAAGGATTGTACATAGAACAATATTGGACCTCTGAAAAGTACAAGCATGCATATGTACTCAGTACTTGGTTTGGGCCCCTTTTGCAGCACTTACTGCAATTACTTTTGCACGATATTCTAATTATTCGAGTTTCACCTGTATATTGTATTATGTATCTGTATTTGTGTATGTTAGATAGTATGACAGCAGCCATCTAATAATTATATTGTCCGGGATTATTTACTTCAGCCGCTCCCCTCTGCACAGGCCATGATAGATTTTAGTGGAAGTTTCTTTGAAGTGCTTGCGGCATAGATGACAGGCCGCCGGCAGGCGAGGTTTAAACAAATTGAATATAATAATACATAATTCCGTGTAATGGTTGAGGAGCCTTTTAAAAATTGATAGCGCGGAGAGAAAAGCTCACGTCACTGAGATCAGAAAACGCAGGGATCCCCTTTATTTACAATCTGAATTGTAAATTTAATGCATTCTGATTATTCAGGGGAAGAGGAACCCGACAATAAATTGCACAAAATGAAATCGGTTACGTTAAAGAAAACCGTCTGTCATTTCGAAGACATCTTTTTTTTTTTTCTTCAAACGCTTGTACACAGGTAATTGCTCTGAGACGCGGGGCAAGATGGCAGCCAAGTGGAATAATAGCAAGCCAATTAAACAGGGGCCCTTTCTGGCGCGCTGTCACCAACTGTCACCTCGGATTTTTTACATTCAAGCGGTCGCCCCATTAGAAGGTTTCCAGTTTACACCGTGATAATGAACTTTACTGCCGCCGAAGAATTCTATCGCTAACCGAATGCAAATTCGCCCCGTCTCTGGGTGTAATGTGTCCTCTGTAACCTTCAGCGGCGTCATTTATCGTGTATGGTTCTCAGCAGCCGCCACCGCCGCTCCCCGTTATAGCGCTGTTAATGACAGCTCAGTTGCAGCGGATCCTTTTGATCACAGCGGCTGTGATGGATTCAGATGACATAGTGAAATAGTGAAGGGAAAGTTTAGGGAATTCTAAAGGGGGTTATTCATAAAGCTGGTTATTCACACAGCCGAGTGAATAACCCAGCCGAAGTGAAGTGAGCTCAACTACGTTCGGCTATTCACACCGGCTGTGCAGAAGGACTTCGACTCTGCCGATCCAACATCTGGGGCCGAACGGCAGTGAGTGAAGAGCCGAATCCCACCAAACGGCATTCGGCTCAGCTATTCTGCTCGGTACCTCCGAGGCACCGAGCAGAATAGAAAAGAAGTTAAAAGAAAGAGAAAAAAAAACAGTTGCCAAATTATTCTACAATTGATAAAAAATAGGAACATTTAAAAAAATACAAATATTTTAAAGAAAAGAAAAATAAAAAAAAATAACAATTGGGCGGAGTTAACAGTGACAGCTAGCTCCACCCAACTGTTTTCTATTGGCCGGGACCTGCTAGAGTCTTCTAGCAGGTCCCGGCCAATAAATAACAACTCCGCCCAGTTGTGGCAGCTGTCTAATCCCTCACTTCCTGTTGTGTCTCAAGGACAGGAAGGGCAGGGAAATTATCCCAAAGGCACACAATCAGATCAGATCAGGATATTCAGGTCATTTGGGGACACTGATCTGTCATTACAATTGGGCGGAGGGAGCCGTGAGATAACGGCTCTGCCCAGCTGTCATTTGCGGGGCGAACAACCGGCCTTCGCCAGGCCATTCTCCCCGCTTCGGCTGTCACTTTGGCTCAGTCATATGACTTCGGCTCGGCTGAGCCGCTCGGCCACCTTCGGCTGCTTTCTGGGCTATTGTAAATTACACTCCTCACTCCTTACGGTGAGGAGAGCCCAGGCAGGGACCAATGGGAATGAATGGTATGTAAATTGTCGGCATTACAATAAATAAATCTTTTAAGCAGCAAAGGTTTCTCCTAACGACCAATCAGAACGGAGCAGAGGCGGTGCTTAGCATCCAGCCCCTTCTCATTTGAGATCATGTCAGTCCCGCCACATACATATTTTGGATTTCTTTCATGTTCTCCAACATATCTCCCCGACTTTTTATTATCATTTTATTTTTTTTTCAAAGCTGGAAGCTGTTCCAGTCCTTTTCATTTCCAATATCATCCCGAGAACCCAAATTCAGAGGGAACTGGATAATGACCCGGTGCCGCGTCTGCTTCTTGACGGCGACAGCGCCTGAAACGAGAAAAGTCAGGAGGGTTATTGCACATGGCGAATACGTCGTGAGGGAGATTCAGAAGAACATGGCAGAGACTATTAGCATGTCTGCTAACACCTTTGGGGTTGAGCATGGCACCACTGCTTGGCACACATGGCACTATTGCCTAAAGGCAGGAGGCTTATGCACATGGCAGGAATTCAGAAGAACATGGCAGGGCCTACTAACACGCCTGCTAGTACCTTTGGGGATGAGCATGGCACCACTGCTTGGCACACATGGCACCATGCCTAAAGGCAGGAGGCTTATTGCACATGGTGAGCACATCATGATCAGGATTCAGAAGAACATGGCAGAGCCATAATGCATCCTTCAGGCCTACTAAGACCTTTGGGGATGAGCATGGCACCAATGCTTGTCATGAATGGCATCATTGCTTGGCACACATGGCACCATTGCTTGTCATGTATGATGCCATTGCTTGTCATGTATGGCATCACATGGCGCCCTTGCCTGACCCTTTATTATGGAATTTGCCTCCAACTGAAGAAGAACTTGAGCTGGCTGATTTCTACTTTGAACATTTCACTTTTCTAATAGGTTGCAAAGCAGATTTCCTCCAGATGCAAAGCGCAAGGAGGCGCTCTCTGGATCTGGGTTAACCATTCGCCTATGGAGAGGCTTCTTTACAGTAAGAGCAGTAAAAATGTGGAATGGGCTTCCTCCAAAACCTTCAAACATCAAGGAGCAGCGTCCATTGTAAGTGATTCCATCAGCATTTGAATCAGCTTAGAATCCATTTGACTTTGTCACTTCAATGGCACCTGTAGTGATTCGGGGTCAATGCTCCATCTGCAGGCACGCAGCCCTTTGCGCCCCATCATTTCATTCTGCATCCTCATGGTTTCTGATACCGTATACACACAGATGACGTTACGTTTGCACAAAGGAATTATCACGGAGGGTTCGGGTTTTAATTAAACCCAGAGCCAAGAGACACAACTTATCCCGTTCCTCAAAGATGAAAGAGAGAAGAATATTAAAAACTGCGTTCGCTCGGAGAAAACATGGACATTTAATCTAGCCCATAGCTCAGTCTAAAGGGTTAAGAGATAACAAGAGAACAAAACCGCTGAGACTGAAAAGTGGACCTGTCATCAGATATAGGTCAGGAGCAGCACCCTGAGCAATGTGTCAGTGTAACACTTCCAGGTATGTATTACCCCATACAGGTAGACCCCTAACAATGCCACCATCTTCTTTTCTCTCCAGAAGGACGGCACCATTTTTGTTCAGGCAACATCCAAGGTCACCAGGACTGAGAGGCTGCCTCAAAAATCATGGAAATCCTGGTGTCTGTGCAATTCTTGTCTGAGTTCACCAATGTCTGACACAGATCAGCCCCTGCTGCAGCCTCTCACCTTGTCATTAGTTACAAAGTTACAATGTTGCAGTCTGATCACTGGGGAGAGA